CAACCTGAAAATCAACACCCTCAAAGAAGGAGAATGCAACATAGACCCGTTCAGTTTCCATCACGCCCCCCCTTCCCTCCCCAAAGAAAGTCATGGCTACCAAAGGCGACCCCCACCCCATAGAAAGCGACGACCAAAGGCAAACCTGAGCCAACCCACTGAAGCGCGAGAAACCACCCTTCTAAAGCCCTACGTCCGTTTGCCTTTTCGCCCCCCAAAGAAAACAAGAGACAATATTTCGAGCAGTGATAGATTCCGTTTTCAACCCAGCAAGGGAGAATCAAAATACATTCTTGTAAGCAAATTGAAGCCCGAACCACATGGACACGGGGAAACCAAAACGGCAATGGCCTCAAACATCTGGGCTGTCCTGGCCGACATCTGGGCTGTCAAGGGAGAGTGCCCAATTTGAGCCGTTGCCAAAACCCTTATGTGCCCCAAACTGGAATTGAAGACTTGTCTTCTTTCTTTTGGAGGGGGGGATTCTGGGCAGGTAACCTTGTAGTCTCAAACCGTAGTCTTCCCACAGTCCTCCGGTAGTCTTCCTGCAATCATCTTGCAGTCTCCCTTGTAATCTTCCGTAGTCTTCCCGTTGCTTCTCATCTGTCGTAATTCAAAGGCGCCAATATTCACACAACCTTTCTTTTTGGTGAAAGAGGGCTTCGTTTTAGCTTCGTCTGGCCTTCGTTTCAAGACCGGCTGGCGCCCTGCAGAAGCCGCCAAATGCATGATTCGGAATCCTTGGGTTTTAAGACTCAGCTTCGTTCATGTTCTTTATTTCTTTTTGTTGGGGGGGGGTGTTCACCCTATTCCACTTTCCTTGTACCAATCCACAATCCCTACGCATTTGCCAGGGAAAAATAACAGGGACCCTTTCGCAACCGTTTGACGATCTTTGAACAGCGTGAAACATCATCGCCACGGAGAACTCGCCTGACATCACACCAAGAAAGGCGATGCTCTTGTTCTCCCTCCTCCTTCAGCATGGCGTCAGGGGGAGGAGATACCCGAGACCCATCATGCAACCACACACAACACGGGGACCAGTCGGGCCATTCTCTTGGGACCGGTTCCACCTGTAGCAGAACCAGCTCCTTCCCTCCCGCGTTCGGTCGTCGGGTCGATCCGAGTGCCTGGATTCCAGAAAGCCCAGCCAGTAGCCGCTGGGAAAGGGCGCCCCACACCTCATGCCGAAGCATTTCGGCGGGAAAAGAATACCCACGCCAGAAAGGCCATGACCCTAGGGCTCAACCCCAGGTTGACCCAATTTGGAGGACAATCCTTAGGTAAACAATGGTGATATATGAGCCCCCTCAATCGTTTTTTCCTCGCGGTTTGAAGCCCAGGGATGACCTGTGTGGCACATGTTATTCGGGTGTGGGGCCACCATAGCTACGCGAAATGGGTCTTTCGGAAATGGAAACGAGGACGAGTCAAAACCGGTGCCCTGGTGGATAAATTTGGACCCGTGCCAATTCCTTGGGTGTCTTGTAGGGTTCGGAAATGGGCATCTACAGATCCTTCTGGTGAGTTTCCCTGTGATCTCGTTTTAAATCAACCCCAAAAGGACGCCATCAAAACATCTATACCACCCAGGCAAGTAGTGTCAAAGACCATCTTTTCCAATGACCCTTTGTTGGATTGCATGGTTGCCCATATGCCCCCAAAACAAAAGCAAGAGATCCAAGGACAGCTAAAAGGCGGTGACATCCTGTCAGCCAGGCCCCATTGAGCACCCTCAAAAGGAAATCAAACACTAAGAGTGAGTGGCTAATGTTGCAGGCAAGGCTCCACAAGGTGGCAAAGACCAAAAGCACCTCAGCGAAACTTGCAACTGCCTGTCATCCTTCCCTTCCAGTGAAGGAATCATCTGGCTAACTCTGGACCCGATCCATGAATCTGTTCAAGAGAACCCCGCAATGGGCGCTAATGCAGGGGGCGTTGGCCCCAAAAGATGTCCATTTGCCACACTAAAAGGGGGCAGCAGTTTCTGCTTTTCTGTTTTCATGCGGGGCTCCCATTCGCTACCTCTGCTCAAGCAAGGGTGGATTCGAAGAATACCGGCACATCATGTGCTCGTGAGTTGGGACCCATCAAGCTCTCCACGGATCGGTTCCTGCGTCGAAATGGCGAACTTGGCCAGGGATCCTTTTGGGAGTTTAGAGCCGGATTGTAAAAAGACCCCTGAATAAAAAAAACACCCCGGCCATTACTCAGGGGGGGTCCCCTGGAAGAAAGGAATCCCTACTATTCCACCTGGTGCGGAGTCCCTTTCTTTCCTCGGCCGGAAAATTGCTTTTGGGGAGGTGATGCTTAAATAGAATATGCACCGGTACTGGGGCTATCCTTTGGAGTGAAAACTCCCATGCCGATGTCTCACTTCCATCCACGGATCTCTCGCCCAGGCCTACTCCACACCCAATCAGACCCAATTTACTCCCCGCGCCGCTTGCCTGCCGCTGGCCGCCCTTTTGTTGCACACACGCTTCTTCGCCACACATCGCTACAGCGACCTGATAAGTTGAGACTGGCGTCAGACAAAACGACTTGCTGAACAGGAAAGCACAGTCACAACTTCAGGAGTGCCATTCCTTCTCGGGCATCCCCTCAAGGGAGTGCCTGTATCCCACCCTGCGGAGTCTTCGGTGGCCATTCCATGGGCAGGTTCTGAAGCTCCGGAAACCAGCGAGTGAAGGTCTGGGGGTTGTAGCTCACGTCGCCCTTAGCCATCCTGGGCCATTTCTCACGTTGTGGAACTTCCAACCTTTTGACTGAGCGTGTCCTATCTTTTGTCCGCAATGTGAAAGTAACAGTTAGGATTTGGAAGTGAACCCCTGGTTCTGGTAGAGGGCAAATGGGAAACCACCCCATCTACGGGGATGAATGAAGGAGGGGCAGTCAAAAGGGTCCTGTCTGATCCGAAATGTCCCTTCCATGTTTGCCATCGGCAAGTGTCCGCGAACAGCTTTGAACGTGCTGTGTTTTTTTTCAGCGAGAGAGGCACCCCGAAAATGGGGGCATGTCCAACGGAAATGGCCTCAAGAGTTGCGATTTCCAGGTCACAGCCCCCAGCCGGAGACCGTTGAACCCACACATATAGCTCACTTCTAAGCAGGTGACCAGGACAAAGCAAGGTGTTTTATTTTATGTTTTTTTGTCAGCTTTCCTGGAAAAATGATCGACCCCCTCGTACTGAAGGATTCCTTTTTGAGGGGGTCGCAAATTTTCCCACAAAAGGTGGCAAAATGCCCCCCTGGAACAAAGCACCGCGCGAACCCACTGCGCTTGCTGCCCACCTTGAAGCACCTTGAAGCCAAATCAATATGCAGACTGGTTGGCAAAGGGCCAGTGCTATCACATGAAGAGTTCCCTTAAGGCTGCCTTTTGAAAGCGGCTGCCTTTCCCAAAAAATCCCGGCTACCCTTTTAGTAGGTAATCAGCTATTTTCATTCTGGTTGTTGAAGGGTGGTTCCCTTGGTTGCCTCCTATACCGGCAAATAGATCCACTGGGATTGATAATCTCGACACGTGGCCAAAAAGTACAGGCACATCCCAGTTTGCAACAACCTGATTGCGGCAACGACAAACCTGCAGCCAAGTTTCATGTGCATGATGATGCCGAACCTAGCGAGTTGCAAACGCTGCAAGTAGTGTTCTTCATCATGTCGAACGAGAATCTGGAAACTACATCCCGAGCAAAGGGCTGGAAGCTCAACTTTCGGACCTGTTGGGTGCCCTAGATGTAGGTGCAATGCAGCGAGAAGCCTCAAGTTGCAAAGCCCTTCAGCCCCTGAATGTACGAGTTAAATTTGGACTGGGGCGTGGCTGTGACTCAACCTCCTGTGCAAAAGAACGGAACTGGACAAACTGAAGCATCTCTCACTGACCTGAATTTGAACAACCAAGACCTCAAGTGAGCTCAATGCTCAACCAGTACTGCATGCTCTTCCTGAACCACGGCCGCCAATCCTGGTTCACACGCCCGTCGCGAACACGGGCGCTAACGGCTGACGGCTGACGGCTGACGGCTGAGGGTGGCGCTGATGCTCGCTGATCATGTTGGCCCGCGATGGGGTCATGGACCACACCGTCTTATCGGCCCAGAAGAGCACGAGCCGATCCTGCATCGGGGAGATCCTGCGATGGAATCAAGAAAATGAGTGACTCGTGAAAAATAAACGGACAGTTGAAAACACGGGAAGAAGACTAGTGCCACGTTAAACAAACGGAAACACACAAAAACACACACACACACACACCGGGAAAAAGGCCTGAAGTTGAGTTGTTGAACGAAAATCTCAGGGTGTCGAGCCTTTTCCATGGCTCCCTAAAACATTGTCGGATCCTTGAATGACTTGATGCCTCAGCGGTTTCCCCATGAAATCCCAACTAGTCTACCTCAGCTTTTGCTTTTTGCCCAGCCAAAAGTCAAAGTTGACGCTTTTGCTCCATCGCGAGACTGAGAATGCAACATTCCCCCTTAAAAAAAAGGACATGGGGCCCATATACCATCACCCCCTTAAAAAAAAAGACATGGGGCCCATATCATCTTCGGCTCACTCCCTTTAGCCAATAGAAAGCTGTTGAGCCTTAGGCCTTAGCTCCCAAAGGCGAAGCTGGAGAACCCCAGCTCCCTGGCTCCCTTACCACCCAAAGAACTTCTAGCGGCGAAACTTGCGATGCGCCGTCAGAAGGAACGTGAGGGGCAAACATTTTGGGGGTGCTCCGCCTTAAATCAGCTCCCGCGTTGGTTTGGAGCCCAAAGGTTCGGTGGTTAAGGAAGAGCTTCCCATTTCTACTCTACAAAAGCTTGGGGGTTCAAACCCAATCCAAACCACCAATTCATGACCTGAGCTGATTACAGAACTGGGTACAGAAGGCTACCAGATACCGCCGGAAATTCATTTCCTGACTCCCGGACTCCCCGGACTCCCCGTCCTCACGGCCCCCGTGGGCGTGATCACGCCCTCCAGCTGCAGCACGCCCCCGTGCTCCTCGCGGTAGTTGGGGTTGCTGAAGTAGATCGCCACCAGCTTTCCTCACCGAATCGCCGGTTCCAAGGGGAGGGACATGGAGAAGATCATATCCATACCTGGCCTTCTACTAAAAAAATAGATGGCTATATACCATAAATGGTACCCATTGCCCATTTGAGCTTCTGTGGTATTCTGCAAGGGCAAGGGCACCTGCTCAGGGGTACATGGTGAGACATTAGAGAAGGGGAGGGACATGGAGAATATCGTATCCATAGGTGGCCTTTTGGTAAAAAATAGATGGGCTTCCCTGGTAAATGGAACAAAACCCATCTAAACCAGTGGAACCCATCTATGTTTAACCAAACTAAACTAAAAAGCACGCCTATGATCATATCCCCTTTCGCTTCATGTTGAACAAACCTTAAAGCAAGTGCAATTGCCTGCCCAAACCACAAAAAGGGCTCAACATGTCCGGCACGAACTGGTAAAATGCGTTTCTGGGGATGGCCGAGTGGGGAAGCAAAGGGATGACAAACTAAAAGAAGGGAGGCGCGCTTGGGCACCAAATGCGAATCGTGGCCTGGCAGAAATTGGGCAGCGCCAGAGGACTCGGAAAGAAGAACATCGGAGCCCTGGTATTGGGCGTGGATGTGCAAGCTGGATGCAATGCAACGGGCAGAAACAAACGCCTCTCAGAAACACCGCCTCTCTCTCTCGCTCTCTCTCTCTCTCTCTGCCTCTCTCTCTCTCTCTCTCTCCAAATCTGAACTGTCCTCAGATCCCCTGCCCACAGTGAATGACTTTTGGCGGGTTAAATGGAAGCCCAACCACGAAACCAACCCACAAAAGCCAAAAAATAAATCCCTAAGGAAGCGGATGGCTGGGAGCCGCCCAGAAACATAGGTGTGCTTTTAGGGTAAAATAGATGGGTTTCCCTGGTAGATGGTTAAACCACCAGGTAAACCAGGAATCGCCATCGATTTTTCGACCAAAGCAACCAAAAAGGGAGCCACATGCCAAGAGTTTTTTCGGTGGAGCTGCGCGGATCGCGCACGAAGCCCTGCTCCGTGCTCCAGCCGTAGACGTTGCTCACCCTCCGGTCGTAGCGCGCCCCCTGGCCGCAAAGCACGAAGAGCTCAGAGATGCCCTGCAGGGCATACCCGAAACGACCTCATTTGGCTGGGGGCCAGGGATCTGGTTGCTTAACTGGGTGCATATTATATTGGGGGCCTGGAAAAAAAATAATAATGACACATTGTCCGTCTCCATGTATTTCCCTTCGGGTAAGTCAACCATGTCCGGCTCCTCAGCACCCAATTAGCCTTGCTAAGCCGACTTTGCCCACGCCTTGGTGTTGGACAAACCGCTCTCCGTGAGTTCTCCTAAGGGCTGCGCAAAGGACACCAACAAGCTCCGAGTGAAGTTCACCACCGTGGGGGCGATGTCGTATTGATTCCTCGCTGTGGGGTCATGATGGAGCCTGTTTCCCCTTAACCTTCACATAGGGGTTGACTTTGGAAGTGTCAATGAGGCCAGTCGATCCCAAAGAGAACAGGACCCTTCAGAATGTAGACCCTGGTCTTTTTCTGTCAGCACACCACAAACAGCACCGACTTCCAAAGTACACACCCCACACGCAACCCATTGCGGGATGGTTTTGAGGCAACTGCTTGAGCTTGCAAAGCCAAACCAAATAAGAAAGCAAAAGGCAGCGCTTCAATTCAAAGACCGATCACGCCAGTATCACGCATGCCTTTGTCGGGCTCCCCATTGGTTTGGGAAAGGAAGCCATCACGAGACCGAGATGCTCGATGACCTTCTCCATCTTCTCTTCTCCGCTTCTGCCCTTGATCCGGTAGCGGAAGCGGTGGTCTCGATCCTGGCGATCAAATGAATCACAATCAAAAACCGGTATTAAAATGGTCGACCCAGAACCATGTAAAGAATTGAGAAGGCGGCCGCAGGCAATTTATGGTTGGGATTGTCCCTTACTAACCTTCATCTACCAGGGTTTTGATTGTGGCTCAGGTAGCCCTTTCTGCGATACCAGTATGCATCACCTCTATGACTACGTCATCACTCCACCGGGAATTGTATTGGCATCGCATGGTATCGCACAAACATGGCCATACCAATATCTTCCACAGCTGTGCACGCATACAAAAGGAAAACAGGAAGAGTCTCATCAGCAACATCATCATCACCACCACCACGACCACCATCATCGTCATCATAATTATCGTCATCATCGTCATCATTAATCATCATCATCATCATCATCATCATCATCGTTGTCATCACTGTCATCGTCGTTATCGTCCTCAACGTCGGCCTCGTGGTCGTCATCATCATCATCATCATCATCATCATCATCATCATCATCATCATCATCATCATCATCATCATCATCATCATGGCCATCCTTATCCTTATCCTCATCCTCATCCTCATCCTCTTCCTCCTCGTCATCCTCCTCATCCTCCGTCTTCCTCAACCTTGTCCCCATACTCGTCCTCGTCCTCGTCCTCATCCTCATCCTCATCATCACCCGCCATCAATGATCAGTCCCCAATCATCAACATCATCCTCATCAGCAGCATCATGATCACCATCACCGCTGCCACCACCACCACCCACCGTCACCGTCACCGTCACCATCACCGTCACCATCACCATCACCATGTGTGAATAATAATAACAATAATAATAATAATAATAATAATAATAATAATAATAATAATCATCATCATCATCCCTCCACCCCTTCTCCACTCCCTTGTCCAAGCCAAAGGCAGAGAATCGCCAATCTCTTTATCCGCCTTTGATTCATAGGTCGCGAGTACATGAGATGGCACTCGTGCTGAGCGTCACTTTACCGGCCTGCAATAAACAAGGGCGTCCGATTTCTCGAGTGGAGAGCGTGAAGGGAAACGGACGAGCTCTCAGCCATCTCTCTCTTCCCTCAGTGCCACTTTTCTATCTCCAACACATCGCCAAAGCGAGCCAAAGGGGAGCGACAGGTTGCCCCGTCGAAACCCAAGAAATGTTGACGCTTTCCTGTGCAAATGGCTGGGCTTTTCTTTTGGTGCCCCTTCAAAAGCACCAACAAGGGGTGCCCACTCCAAAACAAGGGACGAGCCACCTTTCTCGGACCAATTGGGGGCGGAGGGTGCCCATTAGCGGAAAGCGATTCTCCGCCATTTGTTGTTTACCTCTTTCTTGTCCTTTGGAAAAAACGGGGCCAAGGCTTACATTCTTCAAACACCATGACCCCGTGCAGTCCTGATTGGTGATCCTGTAGGGGCCTACTTTGAACTGCGCCTCTGACTCGGGCTCTTCTTCAAACCAGCCCCGGTCGAAGAGGCTCTTCATCTCGTCTCGGATTTGATCGGGGTAGCCGTTCGCGGAGCCGCCCAGAAAGCCGTCCACCTGCATTGCTCCGAAACCAGAGGCGCAAAACAACGATGTCCTGAGAAGGGGAAAAGCAAAGGAAACAGTTGAAACAAATCTAGCCTTGAGATCTCAAGACTCTTTGCAACCTGACCTGGGAGTAGCCATACTGATCCAGCTGCCTCAGAATGGCTTGCATGTTGCTGAGCACCACATAGGACACTCGCGCCCCGATCTGTGTGGACTGGATGTCCTGCTTCTGCTCCTCCGCCATGGGCGCTGGCCCAAAACTTGCCCGCCGCGGCGCCTTCGCGCCATGTCGTCTGCCTGCAACTCTGGCGAGGCAGGCCAGGCTCGCCAAAGCGGCGGGGCCGGCATACGCGGACTGGACCACCCGCGCCGGCAGGCGACGCGTCGTCGCCCGCGCCGCGGAAACCGCCGCGCTGGGCGACGTTGCTGGCGCCAGCGGCAGGAGCGGCGCAAGCTCCATGATGGCGCGACGGAGCAGGGCTCCCTTGGGCCAACTGCGAGCCGCGCTTCACTCTGGACCTTCTTCAGTCTTCCAGGGAGCTGCTGGAAGACAACCACCAAAATGCTAGAAGCTGGCTGGCTGCTGTTGAAAAGAAGGCTGGTTGAAAAAGAATGGGATCAACCACTGGAATCATGTATTCAGCCAAGGGAAAAGCCAAACCCAGCTCAAGGACGACAGCAAGATCACGGCGTAATCATTCCCCGCCAAGGCGCGACAAAGCCTTGGCAATGTTGACAGGCTTGGAGAACATCGATCCTTGCTGCAAGCTGCCCACTCCCCAAATGCTAACATGACCCCTTGCCAGACCGGCTCTGATCGCAATCGCTCAGACCGCTCCCATACATCGCTAAGGAGATGTTCCGCCACTTCCAAAAAAAGTGCCTTTCAGAATGCAGTCATTCAACAATGCAGTTGCGCCCACAGCTCCATTTCTTGACGAGCCATAAGGGAAGCCATGGCCTAGTGACCAAGGGCCATTGACGCCCAGATCCTCACCAAGAAAATGCAACACTAACAATTCATAATAGCAATGCGAATCAAAGAAATAATCAGCCACACAGAAAAAATGCACTTATTGTACGAGAATTGTTTCTAACATGAGCGCCACACATGCAAGGTTTCCCAAAAGGCAACCCCCAAACCGGGGGTAAACCTCAAACAAAGACGAGCCACCAATTGTGTGACCATCGTATGGTTTTCAAGCGCCCCTTCAGAGGTGGGCGCGACTCTATTCCATTTGTTTATGCGTTCCTTTCTTTTTTGTTTCGGGGGAGGGACATTCACCAACAAAGCATGGGACATGGCTTTGTCTAATGGATATGTCCCCTTTCATCTAGCCTGATCTCGCCTTAAACTCAGCTCAAACCACGCAAGTGTCTCACGTTAACCCCAAAGCCCGTGAAACAAAAACTGGCAGAATCAACGCTTTCACCTCGCCGACTGAGCCAAAAGCCATGGGTTTTTGGTCAACCATGGGGCTTTTGGGCAACCAATCGGGCATCTACTGTAGCCCTACCGGGCCCTACCCTATAAATATGCAAGCGCAGGCTCCCTTCCAAAAGGAGGGTCTGCACACGCCCATTTTCAGCCATCACAGCTGGGGGTCTGCCCTTGGTTTTGGCAAGGGTGGCAGAAAGGGCACCCCGTAGTTTCGGCGGTGGGAATACCCTCTTAAGCTACCCATTTTTGAAAAAAGAAAACACCCATCACGCCAACAATTCCGGGAGGGGGGAGGGAATCCATTTTTTTTGGGGGAGGGGGAGTCTCATTTTTTCGGGAGGGAGGGAGGGAGGGAGGGAGGGAGGGAGGGAGCGGGGGGAGGGGGAATCCGGGGTGAGGTTTCCTGCGGGAGGAGGGGTTTCGGGAGGGGGGAGGGGGGGGAGGCGAGGAATCCCATCTTTTCGAGACGGAGGGGGGGGGGGGGGGGAATCCATTTTTTTCTGGAGGGAGGGGGTTTAGGGTTTAGGGTGTAGGGGGAATCCTATTTTTCTCCTCCGGGGTGAGGCTTCCTGTGATACATTCCTTCTGCCAAAAGCGTCGGCGCGCCGACCGCGCCGAGGGCCCTGGTGCTCCACCAGTTGCCGCATGCCTCCGCCGCCACCTGCGCCACCGCCGCCGCTAGGCCCAGCCCACCCCCGCGGCTCAACAGCCCGTGACCTCGCGCGGAGCGAGGGGCATGACCGGTGCCCAGATGGGCGCCTCGTCTTACTCTGCTTGTTGTTGTCGTTATGTGTTGTGTTGTTGTTTTCGTTGGGGGGGTTAACGGGAAACCAAAAGGACATGATCACATGTTCTCCCTTTTTTGGGGGGGAGGCTTTAAAGGACATGGTCACCAGTTTTTTTCTTTTTTGTTTTGGGGGGGGGTTAGTTTAAAGGGAAAACAAAGGGGCATGGTCAATATGGTGTTTTGTTTTGGGTGTTGGTTCAGGTGCCTATATGTCTTTGCCGCTCTTTTTCCCGGCAAGGGCCACAAAACCCTCGCCCCCCCTCCCCCAACCCCCCCCACTACCACTCGCCCAAAGTCCAGTCCTGGCCTACCAAAGCGCTGGCCGCCAGCGACAGAGTCCCCGCCAAGACCCGTCGAACGTTCGACCGCTCCTTCCGCGCGAAGATGGCCTGGGCTTGGATACTCACGAGCTCTTGGGTAAAATAGGAGATACTCTAATCACCATCTATATACATATTCTACTGCTTTAACTAGAGGTAAATATAACATACAGTTGCTTTTTTCGCCAGGCCACCTTATGATTCTCAGACCAGCCGGAAGCTCCCCCAATTGGCCGATCCTGTACATGGAACCAAGTCTTCCAAAGGGGTCTGTTCGGCAGCTTCGAGAGGGGGACATATACAGCCACCAAATGGTTTTGTCACTTGTTTTGTGGGTAACCTAATGGATGGGGTCGTTCCCCTTGAGGTGTCCAACTTTGAAACCAAAAATGGGGACCCTCGAACGCCCATTTGTTTAGCCGAAAAGTGGAATTTGGGGGTGGAAGCCAGCCTGGGTGTTACGGTCATTTGGCATCTTCAGTGGCCAGGTATCCAAACTCCAACCCTTCGGTTCTTCGCCCCCCCGAACTCCATGCAGCTACCCCCATACGTCTATGAGCCACCGTGGGCCAATCAACTTGGAGACCTCCGTCTGGAGACCACCCAGGCCTCGTTGCTCATGAGGATGAGGTAAGACAGCGGATCCAGTGAGGACAGGCTGACAAAGGACAGCAGCAAATTCAAGGACTGCAGCACACCTGCCGGAGTGCCCAAGGTGGACAGCCACGTAACTGGTCTTGAAATCGCTAGCTTGGTTAGCTGCCGGAATTCTTTGTCGAGCTTTGAAGGGGCAGTTGGCTCTTTTCCGGGGTTTTCGCGAGCATGAACAAACGAGTATCTGCCTGGGGTGAGGATTTGATGAATTAATTGATTGAGTACTTGCATTTTAGAACGTTTTTTTCGCGTGCAAATATGTAAACGTTGGCCATGGCCTTTAGTATATGCGGGCACCAAAGCGAGCGAAAGTCATGCTGCAGCAGCATCACATCGCATGCCCCAAGAACAGCACTCACCGAAACTGGGCGCCAAATGCGTCAAACGAAGGGTCTGAGAAAACAGGTACCTTGCTCCTTTCGATTTTTTTCGGCGGGAAACAAACTAAGAGCATGTCGCACGGGAAACCACTCAGATGCCCCAGTGGCCGTCGGACAAAACGGGCATCCTTTCTTGGCTGGCTGACTGTCAAGGGGAACCCTTCCAAAAAACAAGGAACAAAAGGGCACCAATGGGCAACTGGGACAAATACGCAAAGAGAAACCAAACTGCGCGCTTGTCTTCCAGCAGTTCAACTGCGCCTGGGACCAAGGCCAGGACCCAAATGGGTTGCCGCCCGTTGGGGCGCGAGCGGCACCTGAGTTGGGAAGTTCGGAGGCGGAAGGAGACCAGGACGCCCAAGTGGGGCATGTGGAAATGATTGGCTTCCTGCGGCTGTTCCTTGAAAACTAACCCCCACACACACGCCATCAAACAAACACACACACACACACAAACACACAAACAAACAACCAAACAAAACAAACCCACCCACGCACACAAAAAAAAGAAAGAACAAAAGAAAGAAAGAAAGAAAGAAAGAAAGAAAGAAAGAAAGAAAGAAAGAAATAAAAAAATAAAATACAGAGATAAAAAGACAGAGACACACCGAGGCAGGGACAGGGACAGGGACAGAGACAGAGACAGAGAGACAAACAAACAACAGCAGAGAGAAAGAGAGAGAGGTTGGAAAAGGGACATCCCATTATGTGCCTCTCCGAGCCCCTCTGGCAAAACGCAAGCTAGGCCAAAAACGCGGGGAACATCTGTCACCCTCGCCTGGCGTGCTTAAGGATTGCAATGGATTGCGCTTGCATCTAGTTCAACATATTTTTCAACATGGGGACTCTGGGCACCTAACAGGGGCGAATGGCAAAGCCATAGGAGTTCCAAGGAAAGGTTCCGGGAGCACTTCGAGAGCCCTTGCGTGTTTTTCTTCTTTTTTTTTTGGGGGGGGGGTTGACACCAACTAAGAACACCCAGCTATTTAGGAGAAAAGGAGGCCGGTGTGAGGGTACCTCCTTTTGATTGGTTTTAAAGGGAAGCTCAAGGAAAACCAGCATCTTGGGGGGGGTGGTCCAAATCCCAAATCGTCAAATTGTGAGAAAGACCAGGGTTCGATGATTAGAGCCGAGGATCTGTTGCCAGGCCGGCTTGCCCGTGAGGAAGAAGTTCAGTCCTGTCAGGGCTGCCGACTACTGTGAATGGACAAATTCCTGCCAGTCGGCGGGTGGTTCATGCAAGTATTCCTCGGGTTTCATCCCACCGCTGGTGCAGGATTTTGTCCTGGCAAGCACCTCAGGGCTTTGTGGTTGGACGTGGTTCACTTGCAATATGTCGGGAATCCACGGTGGGTCTGGCAAATCCCACCCCGAAAGAGTCAGGCCCTGGTTATACATGATCTGAATTGCCCAAGGCTTGGTTGCTCTGAGCTGACCCCCCTGCAAAAAGTGTCACTCTGATGAAGGGTTTAGTGGAAAATCCCAAATGATTTCAACCAAAAAGCGGAAAAGCCTAAAGACCCGTTGCCCAACAGCGGTCTAGAAGGGAACCGGCAATGCCCCAAAGAGCAGAGATCCCATGGACGTCGATGTTGAATGGCGGAATGGGCACCAGCACCAATGCCTCTTCCATGTGCTTAAGCCCCCTGGAAGAAAACAAATATGTCCAGCAGCGATAGATTCCCTTTAAAGCCACCAAGGGGAAAACACAAAAAAAAACAAAGTGAAGCAAACGGAAGGCCTGAAAGCAGCCCGTTGGACATGCGTGAAGCTTTACGCTATGAGCGATCCTTTAAGAGACTGAAAACTCAGTGACCCTTTGCAATCAAAGCTCAGCGCTTCCGAGCCCTGTGCTACTCTGTCCTGCCACATTTTTTCCGGGATGATGGACCAGTTCGGATGTTAAGTTTGACATCGCTCTGCTCGCTGTGCTACTTCTTTTGAAACCTCCAGGGCAACAGACCCGCAAGAGAGACTTAAGATCAGGTTTGGATCAATTTGAGGCAGCTGTTCTTCAAACAACCTTCAATGAGGCGTCAAGCCTCCAAATTACCAATCTAAAGCCTCCCCGCCATTCCCCGCCTACGGCTGCAACTGCTTGCAGCAATGAGGCAGCCTTCGCGAGTGTGACTTTTACTTAATGATCATGTGAATCTGTGCCTGGCTAAACACGTGCCCCTAGCTAGTGAATCCTACCTGTACGGCGAAGACATCATGGTGCCCAAGGGCTGTGCTCGACAAAAAGGGCAATCAAGAGGTGCATGTGTCCCACTTGGCTGTGGCTCAAAAAACCGGTACCGAAAATGGTACCCTGGTAAGTGGAAACATGGACCAAAACCTACGTACCCCCGCCTGTTTAACTTTGAGCCACACCCGTTTGTGTTTGTACGGTTTCCCTCTAGTTTCTCCTTAAACAACCTTCCCGAGAAGGATATGGTCAGAAAAGACACACCCAGTGGGTTTCCCAAACTGACTCTCGTCACCGGCTCGGGATACCTTGGCTAGACACAGGCCTTTGATGTTCTTTTTCCATGCGAGTCACCTACAAGGCTCCAAAACACATCGCATCCATGCCCTCAAAGAATCCAAAGCACCGGCTGAGTGTTAAGTCAACGCGTGCTAGCAGGTCGTCACCCGGCCAACATGTGCAACGATGATAAGCCCATGGCAACAATGAGAAGTGTCTCGTGAGCGCAACTGCTCCAGAATCGGTGAACAACACAAATCACACAGGCGCCAGAAATAATAAAGAAGCCTTTATAAGCGCCTGTAGAAGCAAGTGTAGAAAATGTAAAACCCTCAAAACCATGGAAATGGAGGGTTTCACAAGTTCTACACTTTGTAAAGGTTCCTTTCTTAATGAAAATGCCCAGGGCCGCGCAATAAGCATCCGACACTTCGCCGGCTTTTGCGCTGAATTTGGCGCTGTTGCGCACATGAGCCGGGCCCAGCGAAACTGCTTTTCTGGGACCGCAGCTTGTCAGCCAAAACATCAGACAGCCAAGCAGCCAAGCACCGGAGTCACGAGAAAACAAGGGCTTGGACTGCTTCAAGCCGTAAGTAGAACAAATCCGGACACACACACACACACACACACACACACACACCCCAACTAGCAGCCACCTAAAAACCTGAAAACCGAAGCGTGGAAGAGCTTCAGCCTAACCGACCGTGCAACACCCGTGAACCTTGAAAACCCATAGGCCAGAGGGAGACATCAAAATTTGGGATGCGCTTTTGCAAAAGGCCACATTGCAGCAACATAGTTAGTTATGGCTAGTGCTCGGGCCGGGGTTTACACTGTCAAGATGGGAGCTTGAAGTCACCAGAGAAACTGCCAACGGCCGGGGCAGTTTACGCGCCAGCTATGGTTTCCAAACGCGCGGCAAAAACAGATTGGGTTCGAAACAGGCACAATGGGGGACAAATCGCTTGAAACCACCTTTGATCAAAAAGCTCGGACGGAGAGCAGCCCCGGCGCCGCTGTTCTCGGGCCCTTTGCGCCGCATGCCGAGCCGCCAATGCATTGCTGACCGCTGCTTGGGGCGCAAAGCTGGTAGAGACCTCCCACTGCAAAAAGCTGCGTGCACAGAGCCTGCGGAATTCGAGTCGAGTGCGGAGAAACCCAGGGGACCCATGCCCAAAAGTGGTTTGGGATGCCTGGACTGCCTGGGCACAATCTGATGGATGCTGGGGAGATTGGGAAATATATCAATCCATCCATTGATTGTTGTATTTGTTGTGTTTGTTTTTGTTGTTGTTTTCTTTTTGGGGGGGCAAATCAACACAAAACGGGTTGTTGAGCACGCATTCACCTCGTGAAACCACATGTTTCGCTCTTCTCTCTCCGGTGCTTGCGATCTCTCTGAGTCTAAAACACGGGCCAAGCCGCAGGAGGATGTAGAGCAGAAACAGCGACGCCTCGAGTTCCGTCAAAACATCGCTCCCCAATCCGACAGCTTCAAGGAACACCCGGTCGCACGAGGCGCCAATCCGCGCTAACGCTTTGATAGAAAGACATGGCCGGAAACCAGCGGGCAGGCGGCCTGGACCAAGCCAAGACAGGACAAATAGCTATGGATCTCTGTCTTCATCACGGCCTTGTTTCACCGAACATCTACCCACTTCGGCTCGGACATTTCCCCCCTCCCCCGCCTGCAGTAAGTCCAGCCGCAATGCCTTCAGGGTCACCAGCGCCAGCGCCAGCGCCAGCGCTGGCCCCGCGCCCGAAGCGGAAGCCGAAGCGGCGGGCGCGGGCGCGAGGGGAAGGCTGGGAACCGACGATGGCCGGGACGGCCAGGCGATGCTCCTCGGTCAGAAGGACTTGGGATTGGCGAGTGCAAAGTGGTTTCTTCCGCGCTGGCCAAGACCAATCGTCATAGCCAAGGGCAACTCAACTAATATATGAATCACCCGACAGAGGACATGTGAGGCCTCATGTCTGATTTGCTCATGCCAGGCGTTGGCCGACGCGGTCAAAGCCTCTCTTAAGAACGTGGCTTCAAGTTTCTTGTTGCCGTGCTCTGGACTTCTTGGCCTTCGTTCTTGCTCCACAGGGTTGGGCTATTTCATGCGGCTTTTCAGCATGGGGTCAAGCGGCTGCTCTTTAAACAACCTGGTGGTTTCCCTCATTTTCCCTCCAAAACAAGGCCAGCCTTTGCCCAACCTTGGCTTCGCCCGGCAAACCCCTTCAGCCGGGGGCCAAAGCGCAAAAAACCTCTCGATCCGTCGAGAGTCCTCGTGCCGAAGAACTTCCGCCACAGCGCGCTCTCCGCAGTGGCGGCCGCGAGGATCTTCCCTCGCCTGTCGACTTCGGCCCTGCGCTGCATACCTTGAGAGCCACGGTCAAAATCCAAATCGGTTAGCCCCCAGTGAACATCCCAATCCCCACGAAAATAGACTAAATGGGTGGTGCATTAACCTACCCCAAAGTGGTACCATTGGTTTTGACCCACAGCCATGTGAGGGGTGAAAAGCTACGGAAACTTAAGACTTGGGCACCGGCTTTCTTAACCCCAGCTTTCCCTCCCCATTGTCCTTGGAACAAAGCATGCACCCAGTGTCGAGAAACCAATGGACGCCACATCTTCCACCAGCTTTCCCTCCCACTGTCGTTGGGACAAAAGACGCCCTCAGCCGACGAAGAACCATGTCCATCCAAAAGCTGCAACCAATGATACCAATGGAACCTCCATTTTTCCGCCCAACAGCTGACCCTTTTACAGGAAAACGCCTCTGCCGCCAGCCCCAGCGCCAGGCCGAGCTGCGTGCCACCTCCTCCTTGGACGCCAGGCCCGGCACCTCGCTGGGGTACGCCCAGCTGCTGAGCCCGCTGGACCTCGGACCCGCGAGCTCCGGGCGCGAGCTCCGGCCGGACGCGCGGACCCCATGACCTTCCCGCCCTGCTTGTTCATATGGGGGTGTCCCTGGTTTTAGTGGGAATTCAGATCCCTTCTGCACGGTTGAACACCCCCATATTTGAGAAGAACATTTCATGAAAGAGACTTGCCAAAATGATGGAAACAAGAAGCAGCCCGCTGACCCATCGGAAAACGAGTAGCTCTTCATAAATTAACCCCGGTGAATTCAATATATGGGGGTGTCCTTGGGTTTTAGTGGGGATTCAGATCCCTTTTGCAGGGGAACACCCTGCCAATGAATAAACAGGGGTTTATGAATCCGGGGCCAACATTAGATCAAGGGCACCCGGTGGGTTTCAGTTGGTGGGCAACCGCAAACTCACTTGCCCAAGGGACCTGGAAATAAAAGGTGATCACCTTTTGGGGCCATGAGTAAAAATGGACCAACATGGAGAAACTAGAAGGTTCAAAGGTCGATTTGCTTTGGACAACCGAGAAAAACAACCACTCGGGCTTGTGCAATAAAATGGTTCCGAAACAGGACCGCGATGTCGATGCGCCGTCCTGCGCGCCGCTGCGATTTTGCGGCGCATCGTGGCCGTGCCGGAAATGGGTCTGGACGGGGAGAGCTCCGTTGGTCAGCAGCCTGTCCTCGCAGCGGTCCTCTTGCGGTGCCTTGTCCACAAAGCGCGGCCACAACTCAGCCACATCTGCAGCATCAGCCCGTCGTCATCACAAACCACGTCCACAAAACAACGGCCGTCCGCCCCGTCAGCCCATCGCCCCCAATAATCCGGACTCATTTCTCCACGGCACGGCCACGACACGGCCCCGACCACCGCAAAACGGTACCAGCGCGCAGGCGGGAAGTCGACTGCCAGCCCTTCGACATCACCCTCCCGCGATTTAACTAAATAAAAGATTCCAAACATCACAAAGCATTTTGAGGAAAAAACACATACTCCCAAGCGCATTTGATGCTCCCACCAGTAAGGGATCCCCAAATTGAGTACCTTCGCCAAGGTGGTCTCGCCATGAAATCGGCAGATTTGATGCACAGGAGCATCTTTTCCAAGAAGGGGTGGGCCGGCGCTACTCCTGCCGAGTGGCTCTGCCGCTGCACATGACCTCGGTTTCCCATGAGGCTGCTTCGGGTACTTTGAGGGGTTCCCGGGCTGATCTGCCCCTTGGCGGTTGAGACATTTGGTTCTGTTGTCTGTCTGTCTGTCTGTGTCTCTGTCTCTGTCTCTGTCTCTGTCCTGTCTCCGTCTCTGTCTCTGTCTCTGTCTCTGTCTGTCTTGTCTGTCTGTCGTCTGCCCGCTTGTTTAATGTATGTGGTGCCCCTGTCTCCCTCTCTCCGTCTCTCTGTCTGAGAGTGGCCCTGTTTTTGTGTGCGTGCCTGCGCATGTCTGTCTGTGTTGGTGGCTTGCTGTTTGCTTTGCTTGCCAGTCGGACGGGGGTGGATTCGATTGTCCTGCAAATTTTACAATACGTCCAAAACCTGAAATAAGGGATCCCAAAGCAAAGGATCTTCACCATGGCTTTCGCTCGTTTTACCCCGAGCTCGCCATAAATTATGGCAGAGTTGCGTTTGCAACTCCAGGAATGAGGGAACGCCCCCCATAAACCATCCCCTGCGGTAAGGGAATCCCCTGCCAGCTCCTTCCTACCACCATTCTAGGGGTGGATTCCCCATTATTTTCAGCCGTCTGTCCAGAAACCGTTTTCCCTGGGTTTCAGGAGGTTTTCTAGAAAGAAGCATCCCTGGAAAGAATGGTCGGAAGGTAATTCTAGTGGCTTCCTTTAAGGGAATCCCCTGCCGGTTCATCCCATCACCATGGGTCATTCCATACCTATCGCAGCAGCCAGTCCTTCATCCACCCGGCGCGCCTGGCGGCGGAGGTCTCCTCGGTCTCCGGCCAGTTGTCGTACTCTGCCGCCAGATAGGCATCCACGTCCGCTGGCACCCAGAAGGTGTCATTCATCCACGTTCTTGGCCAGGAACTTTGAACACTTCAAACATGGGTGCTCGTTTTTGATGGAACCCCCTTTTCGGTCGGCTTGAAAAATGCTTAGACTACCCCAACAGTGGTCTGCCTCCTTTGGGTTCCCCTTTAAACAACCAAAGTGGCTACCCTACGCCCTGGGTGTCCCAAACCGCGAGCCGGAAATTGCCTCAAAGGTACTCTGGGAGCTTGGCGTGGGTCCAGAAGGACGTCGGTCCAAGTGTAGAAAAAGACATCCCCCCCAAGCGTCTGGGTTTTGGAGCTGGAATGATGATTTTACTTTTACAGTAAATACCAACAAACCATCCCCATGATTCCAAAGTGGTGCAGGATTTCGCCCATCTACGGTATTTTACTCCCCGCAATGTCCACTGTGACGCACCCGGTTCAAAAATGACATGGGGACAAAACCAGGGACAAAAACAATCAAGCCACGCGCAGGCCATGTCCAAACATAGGAAAAACAACCAAGAGACCAAGGATGTCAGATCCCGGATCCTCGTTTTTTTCGCGGCATGTAAGCGCAGGGGCCGAGCAGATAAGGAATGCTGCCGGGGCATCAGGCAGCAAGGGCGTGTCTTTGAATTAAAACCCAGATTTCCTCTCCCATTTGGTTAAGACCCATGGAAAAATAAAAATATGTCCAGTAGTGATAGATTCCCTCTAAAACCAACAGGGGAAATAAGAATAACACATATTCTTAAGCAACTGGAAGTCTTTGAAGCCCTCCTGCGTCCAAGCATCATGAGGCGGAAGTCATGCAAAGGGAGCGGGCCTGAGCGAAAGCCCCCTGTTCGGGTCTGGCACTAAAACGCCCAAGGCACTGGAGCAACCCACAAGACTGTGCCAAACGGCTTGGGCCATTCCCAGACTTGCAAACCAAACGGTTGTCGATTTGCTTTGGACAACTGGGACTTGTTCCTTGGTTCGCTTGACAAAGAACCCGGAAACAAATCTGACTTGCTTTGGCGGGCGGAACCCCCCCAAAAAAAAAACACACAAAAACGTCGGTCGGTAACTTCAACGTGGAAACCCCCCCGGAAACCAGCCGGCTTGCGCTGTTTCCAGCTCCCGATTCTTTAAGAAACTGAATAAGGCCACCCTCCCACCAATTAACATGCAACCTGACAGGCCCCCCCGGCAGCTCCCACGTTGTTTGGTGGGAGGATTAACCCGGAGCTGAACAGTCAAGCGAAGTTTGGGGCTGAGACCCCAGGCGGGTTCCCCAAACCGCTGAAGCAAACAACATTTTGTTGAGCCCTACGAGTGCGCCGTCCAGGTGTTCCGTTGGGGGAGTCATCATCATCTGACACCTTTAAAGTCCAAGCTCCTTTTTGCTTTTCCGACTGAATCCCCCTTACAGGGAAGCCAAAATACGTAACAGTATGCCCAGGAAGCAGGAAGCGGCCCCTTCAGCAACCCTTACTTAAACCCCGGAACGAAAAAGCCAAGGCGCATGCGAAGAAGCGGCCGGAGCTCGCCTGACGCTGGCATAACTTGAGGGGTCTTCATCGCTCGAATTCTGCTGGTGCTCAGTAGGAGATGACCTTCCGGGTGTTGGAAATCATCCTAGCGTTCCCTTAAAGGGGATGGTTGATAGGGGTCATTCCCTCATTCCATGCTGAGAAGCAGCAAGTAATTAAGTGGCGGTTTGGACTGCTGGTCTGGAGGAGGAGGGGTTTCCCTTAAACCTCGAAAGCCAGGGCTTCCAATCCACAAATAACCAATCCAAACCACCAACTAAGGGTTACCATGGTTACCTGAAAATGGGGGGGGGGGGGGTGGATCTGGATCCCGTGTTGCCTAATAACAACAAGGTCGGTCTTTTTTCGGGGAGCGCCCCCACACACACAAAATGGCGCAACAAGAAGCATACCCTCAAAAAAACACACCTACAACTTACCATGCATAAACAACTGGATTGTTCATGGGGAGATCCCATGCTTCCTAACCAGTGGCACCCCGGTATGCCACGAAGCCTCGCAAAGAATAGAGGACTGAGTTTGAAGAACCACTCTATCACACCGCCATTGCCAGTGATACGAGGACAATTTGCCAATCCCGATGAAACCCAGGTGATTTTGAGAGGCTCCTGTTGGTCATAGGGCTTGCTCGTCGGACACCTACTTCGGAAGGGGATCAACCCTGGTGAATGTCATTCTAATAGCCCTTCTCCACCATATCAATTCTAAGACTGCGCACTCTCTAAAACCACCAGATCAATTTCCTGTGCATCCAAGCTGCCCGACGACACTCTTCGGGGAAAAAGGGACTTGGGCGCTTTTTGGGGGCCCTTCCGGCTGCGCGCGCAAGCAGTTGACAGCCTGTCACCTGCCAAACAATCGGGGGCATTGCCGGAAAGGCTCGCATCTGCCATGATCCCGGTCGAATTGAAAACACATTTACAAGGATTGTCAAAAAAAAAGCATTATCATCAGATTTGGTCTCGTGGGGTCATGTGATTGATAGAAAAGGGGGACCCTTCAAAATTGTGGCTTCTCCTTTGAACACGTTGGTCTCCCATAACACCAAGCTAGAACGGGTAACCGCAATCAGACACATCCATGTGAAATGTGAAATGGCTGGTGTTCCGGGTGCACTTCTATTGTGCGGATGGGGACATGATGCATGGCAGGTCTGCAACGCGAAAAATTGATTAATAGAGCGTCTCCCTCCACAAGTAATGCAAAGAACGGCACCCACTATTAATCAAACTCAACCAGAGGTTGTTGCATCCGGGGTTTCCATTGCGGTTCTCATTGCAGGTGCCAAAACAACTTGGCGACGGATCACGCAGCCGAAGTCAACAAGTCCCTGCGTTGACCCATGGCTTGCTGCTTAGGCGGTGAGGAAATGAATCGCAGGGCCTCTCCAAGGGGCAGTCCCAAAGCCTTCATATTGCAAATATGTACTTATTGACGCACACACAGTCTTGCCCCATGATGAAATAGTGTGGATGGACGAAATCCTGCACCACTTTGAAGCCACGGGAAACCATTGATTGGTGACATTTACAGGGCATTCAGTATCCCAGGGTTTCTTAGGTGGTGCAGGATTTCGTCCATCCACAGTAGTGTAGTAGAATATTAGTAACATCATTCGCGCCTGAGTCTTCGTCAAGGCCAGGGGGCAGCTGCGGCAGTCGTCTGCGCAAGCGCTGGCGCATCTGGCGAACAGCCCGGGCTGGTGAGTGGCCTGCAAAGAGAAGCCGAATTTAAGCGGAGGAAATTGCATCCCGGTATCCGAAACTAAAGGTTCCTGGAGTCTCCATGACCCTTAAAAAATCGGGTCAACACCCAAAATAATGGGGTCGTTGACCCATTTTTAAAGGGTCATGGACCCTCTAGGTCGTTGGAGGGCAACCGCATTCCAAGGCAGGGTTTATTAAAACAGCCGTTTCGAGGGTGAAAATTCAAGGGAGCCCTCTTGAAGGAGACAACCTTGCACAAGGCTTGCATGGGTGTCCCTTTTTTGGGTCAGATTTTGGGGGTACCTTCAGGTTTCCGAGCATCCAGGAGTTTCTCGCGTGGAGATGTCTCGCTTTGCCCCGTGGTGACTGCATTGGGCTCAAAAGCTGCGCCAATGGCACCGGTATGCTTCAACCGGTGGGGCTCTGGTGGGCTAATGACCTGGGCAAGTTACTCTGTCAGGCGAAATGGGCCAATGACCCCATGATTTTGGGTACTGACCAACCATTGTTTAAGGGTCATTCAGACTCCAGGTACTCTTCTGTCCAAAGGGCTGGGAAGCGGCCGGCTACAGCCATACAAGAAGTCAGAAGAAGGCGACCAACCTTCGCCCACAGAACCATCCTCAAACGCTAGGACCGTCTGAAAGTAAATGCCAAACCCGGCAGACACCTCAAGAGCCCTCAAGAGCGCAACACAGACCCAACCGCCGTCCCCCAAGCTTGCGACACCATGATTTGCAGGCTGGCTATCTCCACGGTGCCAAGGGGTAAAATGCACATGAACATGAACATGTCCCTCTAATTAGCTCGGTATTCGTGGGTTTCGGGTTCCTTCTGCCTCTAAGCAGCTTGACCCCCAAGTTGCTGTTTGTCCCCCTTCCAAGCATAGGTGTCCTTTTGGTAAAATAGATGGGTTTCCCTGGTAAATGGATGGCATAAAACCCATCTAAAGCAGTGGAACCCATCTGTTTCTAACCAACCAACCGATCAAAAGGACACCTTGGACTAAAGCCCTACATCCAAGCCATCTAAACCCCGTCGAACCCAAGTCTTCCGACCGACACGCCGCACCCACTGCGGCGGCCCGGGGAAGAGCACTCCAACCCCCACACGCAGCCAGTCATTCTCGGGCATGGCCAGGTTCACCTCCAGCCTGGCGACTGAGCCCAAGGCAAGCGGAGGGCAGCTTTGTTTCACTGGAAGAAGTGGGAGGGTACCTGGAACAGACCAGCTTGAAGGGACTCCCTGGCGGGTGCCATGAAAACCTGGAAGGGAGTGTAAACTAAATGAATATATACCGGAGCTAAGGCGTGCTTCAGGCAGGGATCCCCCCTGAAATGCACCGCTTGTGAAAAATCACCCGCCGGCCGCCCTGGCCCAAAGGGAAGCCCCCCCAAAAAAGCGTTCCGTTTCAAGCCACGGCGCTTCCACATGCGGCTCGTCTCAAGGTCGGACCCGCCACAACTGGCGTTCGGTGTTCCGTTTGGCATCCGAGAGAGTTTGGGCACCCAGCGCAAGCTGAAACAACACAAGGGCCTGTCTGTTTTCAGGGGCCCCAAAGAGGTGGCCCCCCTTTTGGTTACATGTCAAAAGCATAAAAAAGAGGTACCCTTAAGAATCAGGCCCAAACTGGTGGTGTTCCTTTTTTTTCCCGTTAAAAAAGCCGCACCTGCACCCGGCGCTGGTGGCATGCGGGCAGTGCTCGGCGTCCAGCTGGTGGCCATTCTCCTCCAAGGCCTGGGGGCTCGCCCGGCCCCGAGATTTGAGGCCTGGAGTCTCCACCCGAATCAGCACGGGATCCGTGAAAAACACCGATCGAACATTGCAACTTGCAAATGGAGGTGTCCAACTTGATGTTGGTGTTGAAAAAACATCATGTGTCAAATGGTTGCGAAATGTATCTATTCAGAAGCCCTGGTTAAGCATGGGTCAGTGACCCCATTTTTTGGGGGTATGGACCAACCATTTTCTAAGGGTCATGGGGCCAGGTGCTAAGAACCCCCCGGCCATGGCTCAAATGCCGAGAGATTGGTAAGGCTCTTCGGACCCGGGCCGGTGGTTTTCTTTGCGATGCTGAACCGGTCCTTGTCCCACCAAGTATCAGTTGCATCCGTGGCTTCTTGTTGTTGTTGTTTTTTTTTTTTTGGGGGGGGGGGGTTTTGATGTTGTTGTTTTTGTTGTTGACCCTTCTAAAAAGCACCAGAGGCTTTGTGGTGCAAAGGCCCCAAAATGAAGCCAATCATTTTGCGGGTGTCCTGAGTGTAACAACACAGCCGGGAAATTATCTGCATCGCAGCACGGCCCAACGAGCCAGTGTCTCAGTCACAATTCCGCCCCATCCTGAACATCCCGGAATCTGCGCCCCTGCGTCTCAGTCCCGTAGCTCCGCCGCCCCCCAAAAAACTTCGGCAGAAGTTCAGAAATCAACCATCAGTTTTCGATAATTGTTGGTCTTGCATATTGTGGCATTGCTACAATAGCTGGCGCACAGTTGGCTAACTGGCGCACAATTGGCCTGCGAACATTCATGAACTAGCTAGTCAGCAAGGTCAACCGAAGTGGCCAATTCGCGGGCTCGCAAAAACTAGCAAACTTGCTGGGCAGGCAGCTGCCAGGGAAACTAGCTACCTGCCTCACTTTGGAACTTAATTTGCCCAGCTAATTCACCTGCAAGCATCAGCTTCAGACCCCTGCCTCTCACCCCATTCCACCTTTGAGAGAATTCAGGCATCCTATAGGTGCAGACCAACGACTTTTGAGGCTGCAACTGGCAGAAATTCATGGCCATTTGGGCGTTTCATTTTTCAGCACTCTTTCCTTGCGGTTTTTGAAGGGAACCCAAAAGAGAACCCACCCGTTTGGGGATCTGTTTTCGAAGCAACACACCCATGCGCCGCACAATGAAGGGCAGTTTCCGTTTGGTTTCCTTTTAGTTTCCATGCATTCCAACCCCCATCTCGAGACACACGTCGGTGTTGGGTCCTTTTGCATCCGCACTCTGCACTCGGTCTTCACCCCCTCCCCCCGCCCAACACACACACACACACCAAAAAAAGAAGAAGAAACAAAGAAGCGCCGCGTTTTCGGTGCAGCAAGCAAACACAAAAAGACCCACATCCGGGTCTTTAGCATTCTCCGCGGCCTTCTGCAGGCGCGGCAGGTCCAGCCACTGCCCAAAGGTCGCCACTGAGGCTTGGCCCACCGCCAGGCAGCCGCGCCTCTGAGGATCTCCCGACGGAACCCGACGGCCCAACACGGCAAAGACACCCCTGGGTTCTGATTCGATTCCAACGTGAATACCAACGAACCATGGAAAAAGAGCATGGGCTCTTGGAAAGCGGTGCGAAATCCGACATGGACTTCGCAAAGCCATCCGCAGTCAGCGTCCCTCGTTCTTTTCTTTTGTTTGGGTTGGTGAAATGGAGGGGTTTCCTGTGCAAACCCTCTGCAAGAACCAGATTGAAATCGCAAACCACCAATGCAAATATGGACATAACTTGAAGCTTTGCAAGTCGCAGAGACCCCCCTCGCTCTTTTAGCCCGGGCGGAGCTTGACCTGCAAAGCCGTTGCACAATTGGGCGCTGACAAAGTGGTTGAAGCAGCCCGCCTCCATCCAAGTAGCAAGTCGCCCACCTCAGGAGGGTTCAGAACTGAAAAAGGGAAGAGTGCGGTTTGAACATTGCAGCTCGTTCCACCCGGCTTCACGTGAAACAACGCAATTAAGCATAGGAAGCCAGCAACAGTGCCCCTGGCGGCCATCCTTTTCGGGAAATGGATGCTATGTTGAAGGGCACCCATGTCAACAATCACGCTTACGATGAGAGCCTTGAAGGGGAGCAAACTTTCCTGCGCTTAAGAACTTTACACATCTCCAGGAGGACCTGCATAACGTCTACCTCACGACATGTGAACATCAACCCCAGTTGAAAAGGCCTGGACTCCGGACCTACCAGAATGCATCCTGGGAAAGACTCCATGTCCGCACATCCCTTGTTTCCAGTCGCCTCTTGGCATCCTTCCCGCCCCTCAGCCATGAGGTATCAAGGGACCCTGAATGCTGAGAACCAGCAAGCCCCCTGCTTACGAACAAGACAACTTGCTGGTGCGAGAGAGGCAGGGAATGGGACAGCCTCCCCTATAAACCATCCAACTGGCTGGCGGTTTCCTTTGAGGGAAAAAGCCTGGGGACTCATTCCAACTCATTCCCCACTAGCAAGAAACAAAAAACCTCGTCCAGTAATATTTCACCAGCCTGACATAAGGTGGTTGGGGGGCCATTCCCCACAATACACCACCATTTTCGGGGTGAATTTGGTCGTCATAATTCACCCAGATCCTATAGGTTTTAGAAACTGCCTAGATAGCCAAGTTGCTGCTTTTTTCAGCCACCGTTGCCGTTTTTTTGGGGGCAAAGTGGATGGAGAAAAACAACAACCTCGTCCCACTTCTTGCGGCCGCTGCGCCAAGATCAGCGGCACCTCCTGCGACAGGAAGACCCGCTTCACCTCACGCAGCGCCTGCATTGCCTCAATCGATCGACCAATGGTGTCCCGTCGCAAGGAACATCGTCCTCCAGAACCCCCCAATTGCTTGAGCCCCCCGCAAACAAAGAGAAAGTATCTGCAGTAGAAGTTGTTTTCCTTTGAAACAAGCAGGGGGCTTCAGCAAATGACAAGGGTTAAAGCAAACTCGCTTTAAAAAGACCTTTACTCACCCAGAAGGACGCATACAAGGACGTCTGATACAGTGAGTGTCTTTGCCTTTCAAGGATCTATAGGGAGTTGGGTTGCTTTCTCCGAGCAGCGCCATTAAACAACAACTTCGCGAAGATCCTCCTTCAACTAAACTCTTTGATGTTTCATATCTGACTTTCTGCGTCATAGATACCTGCATCTCGGGCACCTCTTTCTGGCATTCGGACAGGACACGTCACAGCTTACTCGGAGAGAAGTACCAACGCCAGGTCCAAGTAGCTTTTGCCCGTGCATCACCATAGCATCTGCAAAGAAAATGCAAGGTTAGATCGCTTGGTGGCTTTACGTTAACCATTGGCGGCAGAAAAAAAACAGAGCCGAAAAGACAAGTGCAAAAGAAAGCGGCCATGACAGCGTGACAACCTGACCTTGGGGGCCTCATGCCAACTCCCGGACTCCCGTCCCAGGCGCTCTGATTTGTTGCTGCGTCTTGTCATCACTCCTCACGTAGGGGTGCGTCTCCCAGAAGGCATCTGCCTGGGCAAAAAAAGTAAAGGTCTCAACAGCCATGGACCAATTTGGAGTCAGCCGCACGCCTTTGCTAGAGCGATTTGCGGGAGCCAAACCCGCTGATTGCAGCTTCTTCAAGGGTTCGTTCAGTTTCGAGCGGTCCGAAAGCTGAGCAGACGCCAAGTCAGCACCTCAACCTGAGAATGGAACCAACTGCCTTCGCTGCATAGAAAATGGCGTCCCCATGGCATGCTGACAAATGCCCCGCGCCTCTTCGAGGCTGCATCCGGAAAGCTCTGCCAGGAACTTGGAGGCTCCTTGCCACAAACAACCGACACGAGAGGTTCCAGTGACCGAACCACGGAAAACACCTCAAAAACACCCAGCTGGATGCCCCAAAATGGAACCCTGGCAAATGGAACCAAAGACTGAAACCTGCGGTCCCATGGTGGTTTTATTTTGACCCATACTCACCTCAAAACTGCTCAAATACCCTGCCCGTGGGCTTTTCCGTCACTGGTTCACGACCTGCCCCTGCCCCCTCTCTCGGAATTGATTCAAGGGGCTGATAAGTTCACACCGAAAGGTCGGTCATGCAAAATGCAAATTCCTCAACCCTTATGGACGTTTAGGTCAACGGCTGACCCAGCTTTCTGGGTCATGCACAGCACGTGCACCAGCATGCCAAGGCCCACGCTGGATTCCAGCAGCGAGTGGTTACCTGCTGGCTGAGGAAAAGTAGGTCTGGGTTAGCCCGCCTCTAGGAATGGTCAAACTCCTGTTGAGCAAAACAAAGCTTTCAAGTGACCTGGCTCCAATGCGGGGGGGAGTCATGATAAATCAGGGAGTGGGCAAAATGGCCATAACATTTATCTTCGAATGCCTTCCTTGGAATTAACCGTCCTTTCTAGATGTCATATTTATATGACATTGTTAATTTGCAACAAACAAAGAAATAATCAGACAGAAGTTGTGGTCATATTCAGACTTTACCTTTCCGTCTTGTCATTGCTATCTTGGAAATTTTATACTGGATCAATCACTGATGAAGCAGGTAGGCAATGATAGGAAAGGAACGACAAGCCGGCTGACGGCATATCCTGTCTTTGCGAGAGTGAATTGTGGTACATTTGCTCTAGGAAGTCTTCTCACCCAGCCGCATTTGCCAGGCAAGGAAGCACATGTCCTCTTATTCTGTCAGTCTCTTAATCCGTCCCGGTCACGTCTCAGAGACGAACAAACCTTAAAAATGTCGGCGGATTGATGCGCAGCCGTAAGATACGTGGATGTTCGGCCACGATAGTAAGTGGTTAGCCAGGTGGGTTATAATTTAACCCACTACAAGCGGGCATCGTAAGTCACCCCACGTCGCGTTAAGTCACCCCAGCCATCCCCAGCCGCTTGGAACTACGCATATCCGTTTAAGTCACCCCGTGCGTTTTAAGCCACCCCATTTTTTGCAAAACACATTGGGCGCAGAACTGGAAGGGCGATGTTGCCAACCCCAAGAATTCACCGCACACTGCACGCACATGCTCAAAACTCACTGGTTTGGGTTCATGTTGAATGCTTTTCCCGGGGCAAAACCCTATTGGGCACACTGCAATTAAAGGGCTCCTATATCCTTCAAACATAAATGGTGTTTTCTGTTGGCCCCGGTTCCGGGCCGGAACACCTGACAAAAGGGCTGCCGGCGCGAGTGCCGCGCGACTCTGCGCGAGTGCCGCGCGAGCGCCGGGTGAGCCGTGCCCTCATCCCAATGAAGATTGCTTCCACTTGTGGCACAACTTCAAGTGCTGCAACACGAGAGGAGAGAAGTGAACATACATTTTGCATGCGCACAGCACAGAATTATGCGATTTCGGAACATGACCTTACATCCACAAACACAACGGGCACACTCACCCGGGACGACTTAGATCAACCCGGGACGACTTACAGCACTTACCCCCAGGTGGGTTATAACTTAACCTGCTAATGACTGGGTTGACCCCACTACAAGTGGGGTACAGCCTAGGTTACCGTTATAACTTACTAACCTGGCGAATCGAACACCCAAGTAGCAAAGAACTCGGCCCAACTCACCGAGTTGCTCGCTTGCCCGCAGCGTGTTGAACCAAAAAGAAGGGGACGCCAAGACCCCCCCCCCAATGGGCCATAGAATCCTGCCCCCAGCACACAATAGATGGTCAACTTTGCGCGGGCCACATGGTCACCCACAAATCAGTCAAGCTGGCTCACATCAACCCTTTGGAATGCTGTCCAGTAACCGCTTGCTCCGGCAGCACTTGCCCCAGTGAACCTTCAGGACGGCAACCAAAACAAAAAGGCAGGGAGCATTCCACCAACTTAGGCCTTCAAGTAATGTTAACCCCGGAGTTTAAAAAAAACACCTGGTTGATTTATAGGGAGGGTCCCCTTTTGGTGGGGATTCAACACTTTTGGGGGGAAACCCCCTAATAATGGGGGGACGGGTTTATTAATCCTGGGTCAACATTATTATTATTGTCGTTTCAATCGGACACACTACCCTCCCACCCACAAACATACAAGTGCACACATTTCTGTGTAAAGCCTACCTTCCTCTTAGAAAAGGGGCTTTCTCGACTTCCATATTCGTCGGTGGGAGAGCATATTGTTACTGTTCCGCCTTTAACCGCTAAATATGAGAATTATTCTAGTTTCAATCAGTATTGATCCCCACCTGGACCAACAACATGAAACATCAGGGCTCATCATCGACTTCCGCTGCCACTCATGGTCCTCTCCCTCGCTTCTCCCGGCCACGCCTCGGCGCACCAGGCGCTTGCGAGGCCCGTGCCGTGCGCCAAAGTGCAGCTCCTGGGGCCGTCGGGTGGCCGCCCGAGACCCGTCGGCCACCCGCTTTGGTGGGCCTTGTCTGATACGTTGAGAAAAGGGTCGGGTGGGGCAAAACAATCAAGGAGTGAGAGCGAGAGAGGGGGAGGGAGAGGGAGAGGGAAAGGGAGAGGGGAAGAGAGGGGGAGGGGGAGGGAGGGAGAGGGAGAGGGGGAGAGAGGAGAGGGAGAGGGAGAGGCAGAGGGAGAGGGAGAGGGAGAGGAGGAGGGAGAGGGAGAGAGGGAGGGAGAGGGAGGGGGAGGGAGCGAGAGAGGGGGAGGGAGAGGGAGAGAGTAGAGGGAGAGGGAGAGGGAGAGGGAAAGGGAGAGGGAGAGGGGGAGGGAGAGGGAGGAGAGAGAGAGGGGGGAGGGAGAGGGAGAGGGGGAGGGAGAGGGAGGAGAGGGAGAGGGGGAGGGAGAGGGAGGAGAGAGGGGGAGGGAGAGGGAGAGGGAGAGGGAGAGGGGGAGGGAGAGGGAGAGGGAGGGGGAGGGAGAGGGGGAGGGAGAGGGGGAGGGAGAGGGGGAGGGGGAGGGGAAGGAAGAGGAAGAGGAAGAGGAAGAGGAAGAGGAAGAGGAAGAGGAAGGAATGAAGGGAGGATAGGGAAAGGTAACAAAGAGAGAGAGAGAGAGAGAGACAGCCAGATAAAACAGAGAGAAAGAGAAGAACAAAGAAGAGAAAGGAGGAAAGAGCGAAAAGTACCAGACAAAAAGAGATGGAAGAGAGAGGAGGGAAGGAAGGAAGGAAGGAAGGAAGGAAGGAAGGAAGGAAGGAAGGAAGGAAGGAAGGAAGGAAGGAAGGAAGGAAGGAAGGAAGGACGGAAGGAAGGAAGGCAGGCAGGCAGGCAGGCAGGCAGGAAGGAAGGAAGGAAGGAAGGAAGGAAGGAAAGAAGGAAGGAACTCTCTCCTCTTCCTTTTATATATCCTTCTCTGTTCTCTCTTCTCTCTCTCTCTCTGTCTCTTCTCTCTGTCTCTTTTCTCTTCTCTCTTCTCTCCACTCTCTTATATCTGTTCTCTTCTCTGTTCTCTCTGAGTCTCTTTCTGTCTCTTCTCTCTTCTCTATTATCTCTTCTCGTCTCTCCTCTCTATTCTATCTGTTCTCTCTTCTCTCTCCTCTCGTCTCTCCTCTCTCTTCTATCTGCTCTCTTCTCTCTTCTCTCTTCTCGCTTCTCTCCTCTGACCTCTCTCTTTGTTTTCGTTCTTCTCTGTCCTCTCTTGTATCTTCTCTCTTCTCTGTTCTCTCTTATGTCTTCTTTCGTCTCCCTTCTGTCTTGCTTATCTCATGCGTTATTATCTTTATACCTCTTGTCTCTCATCTCTTACGGTGTATGCCTGTGTCTCGCTCCCTTTTTTTGGGTGTTTATCTTGCGTTTGTTCTTTCTTTCTTTCCTTCCTTCCCTCCTTCCTTCCTTCAAGAGAGAAGAGAGAAGAGAGAAGAGAGAAGAGAGAAGAGAGAAGAGAGAGAGAGAGAGAGAGAGCGAGAGAAAGAGCGAGAAGAGAGAACAGATAAGAGAACAGATAGAAGAGAAAGGAGAGACGAGAGAAGAAAGAATAGAGAAGAGACAGAAAGAGAGAGAGAGAGAGAGAGAGAGCGAGAGAGAAGAAATGAGAGAAGAGACGAGAGAAGAGACGAGAGAAGAGAGAAGAGAGAAAGAGAGAGAGAGAGAGAGAAGAGAAAGAGCGAGAAGAGAGCAAGAGAGAGAGAGAGAGAGAAGAGAGAGAGAAGAGACAGAGAGAGAGAGAGAGAACAGAGAACAGAGAAGAGAACAGATAGAAGAGAAAGGAGAGAGGAGAGAAGAGAGAACAGAGAAGAGAGAAGAGAACAGATAGAAGAGAAAGGAGAGATGAGAGAAGAAAGAAGAGAAAAGAGAGAAGAGAGAAGAGACAGACAGAGAGAGAGAGAGAAGAGTTGAACAGAGAAGAAAGAAGAGAGAAGAGACAGAGAGAGAGAGAGAGAGAGAGTGAGAAGAGAGAACAGAGAAGAGAACAGATAGAAGAGAGAGGAGAGACGAGAGAAGAGGAAAAGAGAGGAGCAAGGAGAGACAGCAGAGAAGAGAGAAGAGAGAAGAGATAACAAATAAGAGAGAGTAGAGAGAGAGAGAGAGAGAAAGAGAGAAGCGAAGAGAGAAAGAAAGAAAGGAAGAAGGAAAAAGGAAAGAAATCAAGAAATAAAAAAAAGAAAGAGAGAGAGAGAGAGAGAAACAACAGAAGAGATATGGGATGAAAAGCAGAGAGAGGAGAGAGGCACGAAGAGAAACGAGAGGAAAAAGACGAGGGGAAAGAGTAGAAAAGAAAAATGAGGGAGAGAAGGAGGGGAGGAGAGACAAAGAGACGGAGAGGGACAGAGAAAGAGAGAGAGAGAGAGAGAGAGCGAGATAAACAGAGACAGAGAGAAACAGAGACAGAGAGACAGAGAGACAGAGAGACAGAGAGACAGAGAGAGAAGAGAGAAGAGAGGCGCAAAGAGGAATGAGGGGAAAGAGTGAAAGGAGTGAAAAAAGAGAAGAGTGAAGACTGGAACGAGAGGAAAGGGTGGCAAGTAAAAAGGCGAGTAAAGCAAAGAGAGCGGGAGGGACGGCAAATAGCGAGAGGCCGAGTGAGAGAGAGACGGAGAGACAGAAAGGTAGAGAGAGAGAGAGAGATGGCGACAAAGAGAGACAGACAGAGAGAAAGAGCACGCACAAGCACGGAAAAACGAGTGCGCACAAAGAAAGATACGCGAGCTCTCGCTGTGACATCTGGGATTGGCACGGAGTCAAGCTGTTCAGAGTGAGATGGTCCCTTGTCAAGTGAGATGGCCCCAAAAGACAAGATCAGAGGTAGCGAATGAGATGAGTATCTATTCATTAGCAGTTTGCTGGCAAATGACAAAAAAAAACTAAACCAGCGGAGCCCATCTATTTCTAACCTGCATGGCGAACCGATCAAAGGGACACCTTTGATCACCATTGTGGAAAACCCATGGGCCAACTCCGAGGGTGCCCCAAATAAAATAGGTCCAAAGTATGTCTTAAACTAGCGGACCCCCCCCCCTCCCAAAGGAAGGTGGTTACTTTAGATTCCCTTTTAACAACAACAAAAGGGACCCTCAAAAAAACTGGACACACCCAAATTTAGCCTACCTGAACGCCTGTGGAGGAGACCCCACACGGCTTCACCCCTCTCCTGCGTCGCTGCAAGCGCCAAACCAGCTAGGCAAAGCGCCGCAAACATCGCCTGAGGACTTCGGCCTCTCTCTTGGGTGGCCCGGGGGATTGACCAAAAAATGGTTCGTCCCCTTGGTGCGGCGATAGGGAATGACCCAGGGTGTCGGGAATGAATAAGCCGGGTTTTTGTAAGAAAAGCATTGGCGATGAGTTTTGTATGGGTCATTCGCTGTCCCGAAGTCCAGGTTGGACACGAAAATATACAGCCCCCTTTCTGCACCCTGGTGCCCATAGCCGCGTAGGGGAAATAGATGGGCTTCCCCGGTAGATGATTAAACCACCAGGTAAACCATCGATTTTCCTACCAAAACAACCAAAAACAGGACACCTATGGTGGTGCCGCCTTGCGCCGCCTTTTGGGTGGGTACCAAAAGGGCTTCTAACTTTGACAATCCCCCACATCCGTTGGGGACTGCTGTCCGCGAACCATGCGTGAGGGCCTTCGCGCTTCAAGTTTGCCATTGCTTTGCAGCTCTGCCAATTATTCGTACGTGAGGGAAACAACAGCCATCTCGAGACAGCTAAATTGATGGATGCCAAGCAGGCGAACAAACCCAAACCACTGAGCATGTGCAATTGCTGGATGGACCATCCACTCAAGATGTCATACTGTGAAGATCCTCTCTGGATGTTATACTGTGAAGTTTCCCAAACCTTCAATCCCGGGTTGGTGGGGGCTCTCCAAAAACAACTGACAACCTTGGTTGCAAACTCATATTGGAAATGAAAGTGGGCTTAGGTGTCGTGAAAGCGCGTAGCACGTTCTTGTCTGGTATTGCAATAACGGACGGATCTGGGAAAGGTTTACAACAGTTCAGAATTATCACCTCAAGGAGAAAAGTTGGGGCTCCACTAGTTTTAATACGCACCCATTTATAGTCCAGCACATTCATTGTGTGGCAGGATAGGCCAGAAGGACGCACCCCAGCATACATCTGAATAGGTGCACAAACAGCACGACATAGCTCCTGGCCTTGCAGTTCCCCAACCCGCAAGCAACAACAAAAACTCATACCGGACCCGCGGCCTCAGAGCAAACCGTTTTTGGAACGTCGCTGGGAGGGCACCCAAACACCCGACATTGACATGCCCTTCTCCTAAGCGGCGCTGTCTTTCGCTTCCCCGAAAATTCGGCGGGACACTGAGGGCGGAGGCCTGGCTTCCCCGCGACGTGTGTCTTTCCTCGCCTGCCGGTGCGGGAAAACCGCGGAATGAGGCCGGACTGCCCCATGAAGGCCTGCTAGCCGGGGTTCCCCAGCTTGATCCAAAGGGCAGGCGACGCGACGCGCGGTGCCTTTGGTGGTCAGCCTGCGTTCGAAGGTATTTTTAAGTTTGGTCTCCATTTTTTAGCAGGAACACAAGGCAATTACATGTCACAATGTACATGCCTGTATATAGACACGGATTATACATAAAACGGCTTGGTTCAAAAATTCGGCCCAAGCTGCGTAGAACTCTCGCACGGCTGCTCCTTCTTGACGGCCAGATGGCAAAGGCCCTGCTTGGACCCTACGCGGCAAACTATTGCAGACGTTCAGCAGGATGCTGCACAAGGACCAACGCAAGTGCAAACACAAACATGTATGTGTCAAACACATGGGACAGGCAAACAAACCAATCAAATATTCGCCGCAAACTGCCCAAATAAGGCATTTGTGAGACTGAGGTGAAACAACGGCCTGCCCCTTCTGATCTGAGTGAAACACGGCACAGGTCGAACATGCAGTGAAGCTGCACCCTGACCGAGCGATGCAAGGAGTGCAAAGCAGGGCAACAGTACAAAAAAGGAAAAGCACCACACACACATACAAAACAGGCGTGCCCGCGTGTGCTCGTGTGTGTGTGTGTGTGTGTGTGTGTGTGTGTGTGTGTGTGTGTGTGTGTGTGTGTGTGTGTGTGTGTGTGTGTGTGTGTGTGTGTGTGTGTGTGTGTGTGTGTGTGTGTGTGTGTGTGTGTGTGTGTGTGCGTGTGCGTGTGCGTGTGTGTGCGTGTGCGTGTGCGTGTGCGTGTGCGTGTGTGGGTGTGGGTGTGGGTGTGGGTGTGGGTGTGTGTGTGTGTGCGCGCGCTTGCGCTTGTGATTGTGAGGTGTTTGTGTTGGTGTTCGTGTTGGTGGTTGTGTGTTTGTGCGTGTGTCGGTATCCCATTTGTCCGTGTGGCTGTCTGTGTGCTTGTCTGTACGCGTCTCTTTTTGTCTTTTCGTTTTTCCTTTGCTGTGCGATTGGTTGTTGCGTTGTTTGCGTTTCTTATGTTTGTTCGTTTTGGTTGTTTGCCTGCTTGCTTGCGCGCTTGCTGTATTTCTGAATGTATTCATACCTTTCTGCATTTGATTGATTTTGCTATTTGTTTCTTCTGTGTCTATTCATTCCCGTCTTCAGTGTTTGTCTTTTTTTTCTGTGTGTCCATCTCCGTCTTTCTATTTCTTGTTGTTCTTCTTAACTTTATGTTGTTTGTTCTTTCTTTGTGATTTCTGTAATTCCTTGCTTGTTTGTCTGTTTGCTTGATTGTTTGCTTGTCTGTCGGCCTGTGTCTTTCTTTATTCCTTCCTTTTTCCTTGTTAGTTCGTTCTTTCTTTCTTTTTTTGCTTATTTGTTGCTTAGTTTGTGTGTGTGTCTGCTTTTGAGGCGCCTGCACAAGACTTCACCCATTTCGCGATTCCCTATTTTGAGACACGCGCGTGCACAAAAGAACCTGGGAGCCCTGAATTTGCCGGGGGCTCTGCCCCATCAAGGGGTGCTTTTCCCGAAAACTCGAGAATTCGCTCCAAAATGCCACCCCCCCGCTGGTGATCAACCCCAAGGGTTCAATAATGAAATGTTGGAATTGCATTGGGGAGGCAGTCGCATGAACATCGAAAGTCCAAAGTGCCTAAAGTACTATAATCATCTAATAACACATATTCACGCGCAGGCCTGGCCAACCAAGATCGACTTGATCCACTTGGCCAGCACCCCCAACAACTATGTGCCCAGTGAGTCTCCCCAACATCTCCAGAACCGTTTGGAATCTGCACGGAACCCTCTTGGAACCTGGTAAATCTACTCGGTAAAATAATCAACATTACTACTAAGTTGAGTGGATCAAAGACAACCACCAACCAGTTTCCGACTTGGACCTCCCAAAAAGCTCAAAAGTCAGAATCATGATCCCGGAATGATGGCACACTGGGACGACCTTGGGGTAGAAAATATCATGGTCACACGTTGTTTCATATTTGTGCACACCCCTAAGCAAACATATCCGTGAATTTTCTAGTGGAAAGTCATAAAATATCAGGGCTTTTCGACTTGATCCTCCAGAATCAACTTGATTTTCGCTTAGAGGGCACCTAAAAAGATTGTTGGGGTTGGTCACGACATGGCACCCAGCTGTCGCCTCACAGGCTCTGGTCCAGATTCCTCAGCAGCTCGCAGCCCCAGCGCTGCGCATCCGCGTTCTTCGCGCGGCTGATGACCTCTTTTGTTGCGGTCTTTTCAAAATGTTCACTTTCTTCCTGATCATTTTCGATATGTTTTTCCTAAATAATGATCAGAGCGGGCCCGGGAGTTTTCAGCTTCCCTCTCGTTGGTTTGGAGATTGGTGGTTTGGTGGCTCAGGATTTCTCAGGCACTTCTAGGTCCTCCAGTTTTGGAGGTTACAAGTACCAACTTGTTTCTCTTTTGTCTATTTTAGTAGGGAATTTCCCCTCCCCGCAAAAAAGGAACGGTAAAAGGGCACCACTGGGGGGGACCTGGACTTGCTGTCCAGAACCAGTGCTTCAAATTCCCCAAATTCCCAAATTCCGAACCGCCGGGCTCACCACCCACCTGATGGGTTACCTGAGCTGGCCATGAAAAAACAAAGAAGAAAACCACGTCGCTTTTGGGTCGGAAGATGTGCCGCATATTTCTGACCTGTCTGACAAACCTGTTGAGGGCTGACCTGCCGTCTCCTTGCCAGTGGGAACCCTCAACCTCCATTTGCTTCAAGCCTCATTAAGAAACAGAACAGTGTCAGTGATCGATTGCTTTTAAAAGTCAGGGGCAAGTCAAACATCTTCACTAAACGACAAAAGACAAGGGTACATGGTGGGTTCCCTTGAACAAACAAATGCCAAACAGGAAACAAACAGCAGGCAATAAGCAAAACAAAATCGTCAGACCCACACACCCCTATTTCCGGTGCCCCCGACACCGGGCCTTCACAGACTCGAGCCGACTCGGATCGACGGTGGTGGGGTCATCCGCGCATTCAATCTTGGAGTCATTCGCGCATTCAATCCCGCAGGGTCATCTGCGCACGCAATCTTGGAGTCATTCGCGCATTCAATCCCGGAAGTGCCCACCACAGCAGAGGGTTTGGGGGTTGGGGTTTGGGTTTGGGGTTGGCTTACATCACTTTAGGTTTTTGGGTTTGGGGTTTAGGCTTTTGGGTTTGGCTTTAGGATTTAGCCTTTTGGGCTTGGCTCGCATCACTTTAGGTTTTAGGTTACTGTAGGGTTTAGGCTTTTGGGTTTGGCTTTAGGATTTAGGCTTTTGGGCTTGGCTCGCATCACTTTAGGTTTTAGGTTACTGTAGGCTTTAGGGTTGTGGATTTGGGCTTAGGGTTTAGGCTCTTGGGTTTGGCTTGCATGACTTTAGGTTTTAGGTTACTGTACGTTTCAGGGTTCTGGGTTTGGGTTTAAGGTTTAGGCTTTTGGGTTTGGCTCACATCACTCTAGGTCTTGGGTTTTGGGTTTAGGCTTTTGGGTTTGGCTTTAGGATTTAGGCTTTTGGCCTTGGCTCGCATCACTTTAGGTTTTAGGTTACTGTAGGGTTTAGGCTTTTGGGTTTGGTTTTAGGATTTAGGCTCTTGGGCTTGGCTCGCATCACTTTAGGTTTTAGGTTACTGTAGGCTTTAGGGTTGTGGATTTGGGTTTAGGGTTTAGGCTTTTGGGCTTGGCTCGCATCACTTTAGGTTTTAGGTTACTGTAGGCTTTAGGGTTGTGGATTTGGGTTTAGGGTTTAGGCTCTTGGGTTTGGCTTGCATCACTTTAGGTTTTAGGTTACCGTACGTTTTAGGGTTCTGGGTTTGGGTTTTAAGGTTTAGGCTTTTGGGTTTGGCTCACATCACTCTAGGTTTTGGGTTTTGGGTTTAGGCTTTTGGGTTTGGCTTTAGGATTTACGCTTTTGGGCTTGGCTCGCATCACTTTAGGTTTTAGGTTACTGTAGGGTTTAGGCTTTTGGGTTTGGTTTTAGGATTTAGGCTTTTGGGCTTGGCTCGCATCACTTTAGGTTTTAGGTTACTGTAGGCTTTAGGGTTGTGGATTTGGGTTTAGGGTTTAGGCTCTTGGGTTTGGCTTGCATCACTTTAGGTTTTAGGTTACCGTACGTTTTAGGGTTCTGGGTTTGGTTTTAAGGTTTAGGCTTTTGGGTTTGGCTCACATCACTCTAGGTTTTGGGTTTTGGGTTTAGGCTTTTGGGTTTGGCTTTAGGATTTAGGCTTTTGGGCTTGGCTCGCATCACTTTAGGTTTTAGGTTACTGTAGGGTTTAGGCTTTTGGGTTTGGTTTTAGGATTTAGGCTTTTGGGCTTGGCTCGCATCACTTTAGGTTTTAGGTTACTGTAGGCTTTAGGGTTGTGGATTTGGGCTTAGGGTTTAGGCTCTTGGGTTTGGCTTGCATCACTTTAGGTTTTAGGTTACTGTACGTTTTAGGGTTCTGGGTTTGGGTTTAAGGTTTAGGCTTTTGGGTTTGGCTCACATCACTCTAGGTTTTAGGTTACTGTAGGTTTTAGGCTTTTGGGTTTGGCTTTAGGATTTAGGCTTTTGGTCTTGGCTCGCATCACTGTAGGTTTTAGGGTTCTGGATTTGGGCTTAGGGTTTAGGCTCTTGGGTTTGGCTTGCATCACTTTAGGTTTTAGGTTACTGTAGGTTTTAGGCTTTTGGGTTTGGCTTTAGGATTTAGGCTTTTGGCCTTGGCTCGTATCACTATAGGTCTTAGGGTTCTGGATTTGGGCTTAGGGTTTAGGCTCTTGGGTTTGGCTCACATCACTCTAGGTTTTAGGTTACTGTAGGTTTTAGGCTTTTGGGTTTGGCTTTAGGATTTAGGCTTTTGGTCTTGGCTCGTATCACTGTAGGTTTTAGGGTTCTGGATTTGGGCTTAGGGTTTAGGCTCTTGGGTTTGGCTTGCATCACTTTAGGTTTTAGGTTACTGTAGGTTTTAGGCTTTTGGGTTTGGCTTTAGGATTTAGGCTTTTGGGTTTGGCTCACATCACTCTAGGTGTTCGGGTTCTGGATTTGGGCTTAGGGTTTAGGCTCTTGGGTTTGGCTTGCATCACTTTAGGTTTTAGGTTACTGTAGGTTTTAGGCTTTTGGGTTTGGCTTTAGGATTTAGGCTTTTGGCCTTGGCTCGCATCTCGAGAAGGGTTTCTTGCAAACATCACACCAACCAGAGGAAAATCAAACACATGAGACTGAGAAATGATGCTTAAGTCACGCACAGAAGGAGACTCAAGACCCCTGACGAAATGCCTTCTTCAAATCTACTTGTCTACACTGAAGAATCCTTGGACACTCGCTCAGCACAACTCAAGGTAGGAAGCCCTTGAGCAGAGCTGCCTAGTGCTTGCCAGTAGCTCCAATCAAACGTGCGTTCCATGGGCAACACTCCCGCGTAGCTTCGGTCGCTTCATGATGGAGGATCCATGGACAGAGCTATCGCCGAGCTGCGCCCATCACATCTCAGTCGGTTTATTAACCCTGGGTCAACATTAAAGGCATCAGGCAGAATAATTTCCTTCTGGAACCTGTAAAGTCGATGGAGGGGACATCTGGCACCACTGACTGACCACACCGAATCCCATTAGAACACACATGTTCAAGTGTGAAGATTTCCTTCAGATATGGTCCACAGGGCAGCAAGTTATTGGCTTGATTTGAGCCACGGACATGTTGTTTCTCCTCAAAACGACATTTGAACATTGGGTGGACCTCTGGCTAACCGCCGACAAAGAACACGTTCCAAGAAGCATGCACACTTATCACGACACATGTGACCACACATCGAGTCCATTATCATGCCTGTGAGCCCAAAAAACAATGAATGCACAAACGACCCCAGGATTGAATGCACAGACGACACCAGGATTGAATGCACAGACGACCCCGTGACCCGGATCGACTCGGTCGACTCGGCCCCGCCTGCTTCGCCGCAGCGGTGGCCCCAGCCTTCAAGATGTGCTGCCGGAGCTTCTGGTCGTCGCTGAACCTAGCGATCCGGAAACCCCAAGCCACCAAGCCACCAAGCCACCAAGCCACCAAGCCACCAAGCCACCAAGCCACCAAGCCACCAAGCCACCAAGCCACCAACCCACCAACCCACCAACTGACCAAGCAAGAAGCAACCAACCAATCCATCTTACCGGCGTTGGGGGTGCGGACCCGGGGAACTTGCGAACGACACCCAGGAGGTCCCTTGGCAACTCCGGCTGGCTTTTGAGGGGTAAGGCGAGCAAGTACCTCACCAAGGGACCCGTGACATGGCAAGGGTTTGGAGTTCGGAGTTTGAACCACCTGACGAAAACAGACATGAAGACACGTTTCGGCAACGAGTACTTTGCGCTACCCCGACGCCAAAGAATGGCGAGCCCTTGCAGAAGCCGGTTGATCAGCCTTGGGCTGAGCTACAAAAACTCACGGCCGAAGTGTCTCGGCAACGCGTCGACAGTGGAACAAAGACGCTTCCCATAGATCTGACAGCTGTGCATACGTGAAGCCTATAATCAAGTAAATATGATCTATCATAATCAGGCAAATACTATATATCCATTAAGCGAGAGAAAGAGGGATTTGTTCGATTGCTTTGCTTGCTTATTTGATCGATGGATTGTTGGATTGGTCGGTTGATTGTTTGCTTGCTTTCTTCGTTGGTTGGTTGGTGGGTTGGTGGGTTGGTGGGTTGGTGTTTTGGTGGGTTGGTGGGTTGTCGGGTGGGTTTGTTGGTTGGTTGCTTGGTTGCTTGCTTGCCTGGTAGGTGGTTTCTTTGTTCATCTGTTTGTTTGATAGCTTGGTCCTTGGTTGGTTGCTTTGCTTTGTCTGAGAAGCCAGGCCAAGCCACGACCACAGGCCGCCCATCCCTCGCAAGGCCAAGGAAAACTTCAGCAAGCCCTCAGGAACCTACAAATTCAGCTTCCCTCCAATTTGCGGGTTTGGAGGGTGGTCCCCATTTCCCCTGGAACCACGGCTTCAAACCCACAGCGCCTCGCCGAAATCTGCGTAGGCAACCAGAGAAAGTCCTTCAAAAACAGAGCTCGTCTTCAAACAGTCTGAATCATACGTGCGGGTGCTCGACAAATGGAAGTAGCTCCAACCCTTTCTGCCTCTGATTCGTGGCATGCCAGGAACACACAAGCCCATCTATAGGTTACAATAACGGTACACATTTTTCTGTAGTCTATTATAGTAGCGGAACCCGCCCAACCAAAAAAGGGTAAACGGGCACCTGGCTGCGGGACCTAGCCATAAATGATCGACCAAGGCTGGACTCGCCGGCTGGCCAAACCCCAGAACTCCTCAAAATCCCCCCCCTTCTGGATTCTTTTTGGGGCAACTGCTGACATATGGCTGTGGCTCAAAAAACCGGAATTTCAAAATGGATTCCTAAGTGGAAACATGGACCAAAACCTGCGGTTTGCCCCTCCTGGTTAATTTTGAGCCACACCCATGGAGCCGGTACACGGCCAACAACTCTCCCAACTCACTTTCGCCAAGCCACATGCACAAAATGATGCAGCTGAGCTCGGTCAAGCGCCCATCCCCATCACCAAGTGTGCCTCAACTTGCGCGCCTAGCATCCTTTTAATGGGACAAATCTATAGCAGTGGTAAATGTGAAGGCTTCGACTCAAACTGAAACAAGGCCTTCTATATCCAACCAAACTGACACAAACTGACCGAACAAAGGGCTCCAATGCTTGAGCGCAGTCATCAGGAAGTCAAAAGCAGCTGGGACACTTGGAGTGGCTGGATCGACCCAAGGCTCGTTTCATTGACGGGTGGTCAGTCTGTGGATCCTCCTCCGCAAAATGTCCAGATCTTGGATTTGCTCTGGCAGTCAGGCAGGGGGCAACCCAAAAAGGTTCCAAAAATCCGGACTACCAAATAGACAGGAAGGAAACAGGAAGGCAGGAAGCAAGGCAGGAAGCAAGGCAGGAAGCAAGGCAGGAAGCAAGGCAGGAAGCAAGGCAGGAAGCAAGGCAGGAAGCAAGGCAGGAAGCAAGGCAGGAAGCAAGGCAGGAAGCAAGGCAGGAAGGAAGGAAACAGGAAAGAAATAGGAAGCAAACAGGAAAACAGGCAGGAAGGCAGAAAACCAGGAAGACAGGCAATCCAGGAAACAAGTATGCAAGTGTGTATGCAAGAGCAAGAGTCAGATTGACTGGGAGACTGCGAATGCCGCAAATGCTGATCTAGGAACAAGTGCACCACCACCAAACTGCATCGCTCCTGAAAAAGCCCTTTCGCAGTAGAAAGAAAAGTCTCCCTTCCGATTCTGCTCTGGTCAAAGCTTCGAGGTTCCATGCGACGGTGTCTGTCTTTGGTGCTTGCACCAGGTTTCAAACGGCCGCACGGATTGGAACCTTCGCAGCTTGTCACCAGGCGGCTCTTCATCGCCGCGAGGATGTTCTCGATGGCGCCTGCAGTTTTGACATGGAAGTATCAAGTCCAGGCAAAAACTTAGTTGCTTTCTGCTCCCCTGCTAGAAGTTTAACTTTTAGTGGTTTAATGGAAAACAAATTAGTTGGCGAAAAGTTCAAATCCTAACATCCAAGCAAAATGAGCCAAAGAACAGGGGAAGTAAGCCTTTTGGTTGACAAGTACAAAGCGTGGTTTTCGTTGATTCGGCGTTTCCGTTGATTCGGCGTTTCCGCAACGATACAAAAGAATGTCCTGCAAAAACAACCGGTCTCCGCTCCCTAATGGGCTTCAAACTGTGCAATCTCACGTCTTTCCCTCTTGCCAGTCTTCACGAAGCAAAGAAAGCTATTCAATCACTCCAGCCGACAAGTACCCCTTCCATCCAGACCGTGAAGAGCGCAACAGTGCAGCAACCCAGCAAGAAGCAGTGATGGGCACACACATCCACACGCACACCCATACTCAAACAAGAAGACACTCTAACAGCAATCCAAGACCTTCACTGTCGCCTGGTTGATACCGTACCAGGCTTTGGGTTCAGGCCATTGGAAGCCAACACCCCCCCTTTCCCCAGCCCCCAACCCCCCACCCCATCCACCCCACCCACCCCACCCACCCCACCTATACCCCACCTACCCCACCCACCCCCCACCCTCATGTTCTTCGCAACTTTCTTTTGGGAATCGGACCATCAGCGGTTCAACTTCGGGCCCGGCAAGTGCCCCGATGCTTCCCAGCGAGCGCGCCTAGCCGTGCCGCCACGGCCGCCCGGCCCAGCGTGTCGCAGAGGTTCGTGAGGCAGGACACTGCCAGCTCCTGACGGAGTCTTGGGAAAGTGCTAGGTGCCTTGAGTAGATAATTCATATGATATGTATATATATATATATACATATCAATGTATGCAACATAGAGTTAGTGTCTAGCTACGCATATATATATATAGATATACATATATATATATATATGTATATGTATATGTAGATACACGTATGATACATCCCTGACGGTTACCGCTTGCACCCTTCTATTTCCCCTCCGTTTCACCTGCTCCTTGTAGTCCCCAGGCCCGTAGTTGGTTTTCCCCCGTAGTTTTCCCCGAAAAGCCCTGCCAGAAACAGAGTTGTTGATTCGAACACTGGAACGCTAGAAGGGACACAGGAACACTGGAACGCTGGAACGCTGTAACATTGAAATTTTGATAGTTGAGGAGCCGTCTGCTAAGCAATGGAAATGAATGTCAAGTTGCAGCAAAAATAATGAGCAACAACTTCCATTTGGTTAAGACCCCTGGAAAAACACATATTCCAGTAGTGATAGATTCCCTTTAAAACCAACAGGGGAAAATAAAACAAATATCCTTAAGCAAATGGAAGATAATAGTTGATAGCTGAGGAACCGTCTTTTAAGCAATTAGAATGAATGTCAAGTTGCAGCATAAGGAATGAGCAATAATTTCCATTGGGTTAAGACCCCTGGAAAGACACATATTCCAGTAGTGATAGGTTCCCTTTAAAACCAACAGGGGAACTTAAAACAAATATCCTTTAGCAAATGGAAGACAATATTTGATAGTTGAGGACACAATTAGAACAAATGTCAAGCCTGGGCATAAGAAATGAGCAGTAAGGATACCGTAGTTGAGGCGACAAAGCGCCCAGCGTGACCATCCCCGCTGGATTTTCGAAGTTCCGTGGTCTTGCGGCAGTAACTCCGGACGGTGCGTTTTACTCCCACAGGGTCAGTCCATTTGGTCGGTCATTTTCAGAAAATCAGCTTTTGGCCGGTTTTACAGGGAAGCCAATAGGAAGCTGCGAATTTTGGAACCCCACTGGAGACAAACCGATTCCTGAACGTCTTGGGAAGTGGTGGGCGCTGTTAGGTTGCGAAGCCCAAGTGTGCAACACACGCTGTCCGAGTGAATGAAGTCATGAAACAAGATGGGCATGAAACTTATTGAGCCGAGAGCTTCGGCCCTTTCTTGCGGGACCCTGTTTTGACGCTGGAAGAGTCGGCTGCCTAAGGTGCTGCCAGTCTCAACATTCCCCCCGCTTAAGGCGGGGGTGGGGGGCCAGTCTATCTAGTCTTCCCCATAAAGGGAAAATGGATTCAGAAATGGAATTGAAGGGGTCACCCCTCTCCCCCAATTCCACTTTCAAGGAGGTGCTGCCAGTCTCAGCAAAACAACAACGAGCCCACACCTGGATGTCCAGAAACAACATCCGCCCGGGGGTAACAAGTTTGCCAAAACCGGAAACAGCGAGTTGTATGAAAACAGCCATGGCTGGGATGACTGGGTGGATGGATGGACGGATGGATGGATGGATGTGGCGGCTGGCTGCTGGCTGCCTGGCTGGCTGGCTGGCTGGCATGGCTGGGTAGCTGGATGGGTGGATGGATGGGATGGCTGGATGTGTGTGGCTGGGATGGCTGTGGCTGCGTGGGTGGGTGGGTGGATGGATGATGGGTGGATGGATGGATGGATGGATGGATGAATAGATGGATGGATGGATGGATGGATGGCTGGCTGGCTGGCTGGCTGGCTGGATGGATGGATGGATGGGATGGGTGGATGGGATGGGATGGGATGGGATGGGATGGGATGGGCTGGGCTGGGCTGGGCTGGGATGGGATGGGATGGGATGGGATGGGATGGGATGGGATGGGATGGGATGGGATGGGATGGGATGGGATGGGATGGATGGATGGATCAATGGATGGATGGATGGATGGATGGATGGATGGATGGATGGATGGATGGATGGATGGATGGATGGATGGATGGATGGATGGATGGATGGATGGATGGATGGATGGATGGATGGATGGGATGGTTGGTGCGTGTGTGTGTGTGTGTGATGGGTGGATGGGTGGGTGGGTGGGTGGGTGGGTGGATGGATGAATGGATGCATGGGCTGCGTGGGTTGGAGCTCCGTGCAGGCGCACAAGGCGCACAAACGAAACAGCTGTTGGTCCTGGAACACAGCCGCAATTAGAACCGGTACCCAACCCCCTCAGGATTGATCGAAATCCAGAATGAACCCAATTCCATTTCTCGGCCCAGAAATCCAGAACTCTCGCTGGACCAACTTTTTCTTGTTTGTCTATTTTAGTAAGGGAACCTCCCAACCAAGAAAGGGGTGGTAAGAAAGGGCACCTTGCTGGGGGATCTAGCTCTTTAGCACCCAAAGGCAATGGAAGAGTCAAAAATGTGCTGCCAGTCTCAAGGAAGCCAGGAATCCCATTTTTGCTTACCCAAAGGCAAATGGCTGGTTACCTACGGTAGGGATCTGGATGGACTTCACCACGCCTGCAGCTCCACATCCTTCGGGAAGCGCTGCATGGCCTCGCGGCCATCCATCTTTGGGGCCGGCCCCAGCTCATCGCTTGGGTTTCATCGCTCATCGCTTAAAATAGGACCCCCCAAAATGGTGTCTTGTTTCCCCTTCAAAAAGGGGGTGTTTTCCCAAAATGGCAGTTGTACACCCAAAATGGTGTCGTTTTAAGCCGGGTGTCCCTTTAAAACCAGCCAAACAAGCCACAAGACGACACACCCCGCTGGGTTCCAGCCCGACCGCAAAGGGAGCGCCCATTGAACCAAGCTGGGCTTTTGCACTCTGTGTGCTTTGCAGGACGACTGACAATATGATAAATGAAAGATTACAAGCGTGGCCGATTCTTTGGACTCACTGCAAACCCAGAAGAAAAGCACAGGTGGCAAATAAAGAGGGCATTCAAAATCCAATTGTGTGTATGTATGTATGTATGTATGTATGTATGTATGTATGAATGTAGATAGGTAGGTAGTTGGGCAGGTATGTAGGTAGGTAGGTAGGTAGGTATGTATGTATGTATGTATGTGCGTATGTGTGTATGTGTGTATGTGTGTATGTGTGTGTGCGCATGTATCTGTCTGTCTGTCTCGGTCTCCGTCTCCGTCTCCGTCTCCGTCTGCGTCTGCGTCTGCGTCTGCGTCTGCGTCTCCGTCTCTGTAGCTGCCTATCTCTGTCTGTCTGTTGTTGTCTGTCTGTCTGTCTCTGTCTGTCTGTCTGCCTGCCTG